TGGTGATTTGAATTGTAACAGTTTAGATACATAAGGATATTTGTGGTGATTTGAATTGTAACAGTTTAGATACATAAGGATATTTGTGGTGATTTGAATTGTAACAGTTTAGATACATAAGGATATTTGTGGTGATTTGAATTGTAACAGTTTAGATACATAAGGATATTTGTGGTGATTTGAATTGTAACAGTTTAGATACATAAGGATATTTGTGGTGATTTGAATTGTAACAGTTTAGATACATAAGGATATTTGTGGTGATTTGAATTGTAACAGTTTAGATACATAAGGATATTTGTGGTGATTTGAATTGTAACAGTTTAGATACATAAGGATATTTGTGGTGATTTGAATTGTAACAGTTTAGATACATAAGGATATTTGTGGTGATTTGAATTGTAACAGTTTAGATACATAAGGATATTTGTGGTGATTTGAATTGTAACAGTTTAGATACATAAGGATATTTGTGGTGATTTGAATTGTAACAGTTTAGATACATAAGGATATTTGTGGTGATTTGAATTGTAACAGTTTAGATACATAAGGATATTTGTGGTGATTTGAATTGTAACAGTTTAGATACATAAGGATATTTGTGGTGATTTGAATTGTAACAGTTTAGATACATAAGGATATTTGTGGTGATTTGAATTGTAACAGTTTAGATACATAAGGATATTTGTGGTGATTTGAATTGTAACAGTTTAGATACATAAGGATATTTGTGGTGATTTGAATTGTAACAGTTTAGATACATAAGGATATTTGTGGTGATTTGAATTGTAACAGTTTAGATACATAAGGATATTTGTGGTGATTTGAATTGTAACAGTTTAGATACATAAGGATATTTGTGGTGATTTGAATTGTAACAGTTTAGATACATAAGGATATTTGTGGTGATTTGAATTGTAACAGTTTAGATACATAAGGATATTTGTGGTGATTTGAATTGTAACAGTTTAGATACATAAGGATATTTGTGGTGATTTGAATTGTAACAGTTTAGATACATAAGGATATTTGTGGTGATTTGAATTGTAACAGTTTAGATACATAAGGATATTTGTGGTGATTTGAATTGTAACAGTTTAGATACATAAGGATATTTGTGGTGATTTGAATTGTAACAGTTTAGATACATAAGGATATTTGTGGTGATTTGAATTGTAACAGTTTAGATACATAAGGATATTTGTGGTGATTTGAATTGTAACAGTTTAGATACATAAGGATATTTGTGGTGATTTGAATTGTAACAGTTTAGATACATAAGGATATTTGTGGTGATTTGAATTGTAACAGTTTAGATACATAAGGATATTTGTGGTGATTTGAATTGTAACAGTTTAGATACATAAGGATATTTGTGGTGATTTGAATTGTAACAGTTTAGATACATAAGGATATTTGTGGTGATTTGAATTGTAACAGTTTAGATACATAAGGATATTTGTGGTGATTTGAATTGTAACAGTTTAGATACATAAGGATATTTGTGGTGATTTGAATTGTAACAGTTTAGATACATAAGGATATTTGTGGTGATTTGAATTGTAACAGTTTAGATACATAAGGATATTTGTGGTGATTTGAATTGTAACAGTTTAGATACATAAGGATATTTGTGGTGATTTGAATTGTAACAGTTTAGATACATAAGGATATTTGTGGTGATTTGAATTGTAACAGTTTAGATACATAAGGATATTTGTGGTGATTTGAATTGTAACAGTTTAGATACATAAGGATATTTGTGGTGATTTGAATTGTAACAGTTTAGATACATAAGGATATTTGTGGTGATTTGAATTGTAACAGTTTAGATACATAAGGATATTTGTGGTGATTTGAATTGTAACAGTTTAGATACATAAGGATATTTGTGGTGATTTGAATTGTAACAGTTTAGATACATAAGGATATTTGTGGTGATTTGAATTGTAACAGTTTAGATACATAAGGATATTTGTGGTGATTTGAATTGTAACAGTTTAGATACATAAGGATATTTGTGGTGATTTGAATTGTAACAGTTTAGATACATAAGGATATTTGTGGTGATTTGAATTGTAACAGTTTAGATACATAAGGATATTTGTGGTGATTTGAATTGTAACAGTTTAGATACATAAGGATATTTGTGGTGATTTGAATTGTAACAGTTTAGATACATAAGGATATTTGTGGTGATTTGAATTGTAACAGTTTAGATACATAAGGATATTTGTGGTGATTTGAATTGTAACAGTTTAGATACATAAGGATATTTGTGGTGATTTGAATTGTAACAGTTTAGATACATAAGGATATTTGTGGTGATTTGAATTGTAACAGTTTAGATACATAAGGATATTTGTGGTGATTTGAATTGTAACAGTTTAGATACATAAGGATATTTGTGGTGATTTGAATTGTAACAGTTTAGATACATAAGGATATTTGTGGTGATTTGAATTGTAACAGTTTAGATACATAAGGATATTTGTGGTGATTTGAATTGTAACAGTTTAGATACATAAGGATATTTGTGGTGATTTGAATTGTAACAGTTTAGATACATAAGGATATTTGTGGTGATTTGAATTGTAACAGTTTAGATACATAAGGATATTTGTGGTGATTTGAATTGTAACAGTTTAGATACATAAGGATATTTGTGGTGATTTGAATTGTAACAGTTTAGATACATAAGGATATTTGTGGTGATTTGAATTGTAACAGTTTAGATACATAAGGATATTTGTGGTGATTTGAATTGTAACAGTTTAGATACATAAGGATATTTGTGGTGATTTGAATTGTAACAGTTTAGATACATAAGGATATTTGTGGTGATTTGAATTGTAACAGTTTAGATACATAAGGATATTTGTGGTGATTTGAATTGTAACAGTTTAGATACATAAGGATATTTGTGGTGATTTGAATTGTAACAGTTTAGATACATAAGGATATTTGTGGTGATTTGAATTGTAACAGTTTAGATACATAAGGATATTTGTGGTGATTTGAATTGTAACAGTTTAGATACATAAGGATATTTGTGGTGATTTGAATTGTAACAGTTTAGATACATAAGGATATTTGTGGTGATTTGAATTGTAACAGTTTAGATACATAAGGATATTTGTGGTGATTTGAATTGTAACAGTTTAGATACATAAGGATATTTGTGGTGATTTGAATTGTAACAGTTTAGATACATAAGGATATTTGTGGTGATTTGAATTGTAACAGTTTAGATACATAAGGATATTTGTGGTGATTTGAATTGTAACAGTTTAGATACATAAGGATATTTGTGGTGATTTGAATTGTAACAGTTTAGATACATAAGGATATTTGTGGTGATTTGAATTGTAACAGTTTAGATACATAAGGATATTTGTGGTGATTTGAATTGTAACAGTTTAGATACATAAGGATATTTGTGGTGATTTGAATTGTAACAGTTTAGATACATAAGGATATTTGTGGTGATTTGAATTGTAACAGTTTAGATACATAAGGATATTTGTGGTGATTTGAATTGTAACAGTTTAGATACATAAGGATATTTGTGGTGATTTGAATTGTAACAGTTTAGATACATAAGGATATTTGTGGTGATTTGAATTGTAACAGTTTAGATACATAAGGATATTTGTGGTGATTTGAATTGTAACAGTTTAGATACATAAGGATATTTGTGGTGATTTGAATTGTAACAGTTTAGATACATAAGGATATTTGTGGTGATTTGAATTGTAACAGTTTAGATACATAAGGATATTTGTGGTGATTTGAATTGTAACAGTTTAGATACATAAGGATATTTGTGGTGATTTGAATTGTAACAGTTTAGATACATAAGGATATTTGTGGTGATTTGAATTGTAACAGTTTAGATACATAAGGATATTTGTGGTGATTTGAATTGTAACAGTTTAGATACATAAGGATATTTGTGGTGATTTGAATTGTAACAGTTTAGATACATAAGGATATTTGTGGTGATTTGAATTGTAACAGTTTAGATACATAAGGATATTTGTGGTGATTTGAATTGTAACAGTTTAGATACATAAGGATATTTGTGGTGATTTGAATTGTAACAGTTTAGATACATAAGGATATTTGTGGTGATTTGAATTGTAACAGTTTAGATACATAAGGATATTTGTGGTGATTTGAATTGTAACAGTTTAGATACATAAGGATATTTGTGGTGATTTGAATTGTAACAGTTTAGATACATAAGGATATTTGTGGTGATTTGAATTGTAACAGTTTAGATACTTAAGGATATTTGCTGTCTCTGTGTTTCTGTTAAAAGAACAGGTAGAACAAATAAATGTAATGATATACTTACAGTTTTGGATACAAAAATGTAATGATATTTTTCAGGATGATATTGTGTACGTATTGGAGTGATATTTTAACTTGGAGATAATCAAATATGAGAAGTTAATGTCTGAAAAGTTATAACCATCACAGCAACATATAAAACCGCACTGCACAGTCATGGGAGAAATATTACGTTCTTAAGACACCACTTCTATCTAAATTGAACATATTTTTCGGTGGTAATAGGCTCGGCAATCATTGACAAACATACTTAGGTACATCAATTGATTGCCCGTACCAATTACAACTTGTTCACATAGCTTATTGTACATGTATCTTCAGATGAAGGTTAAAGAAGACACCTGTACTAAACTACTTTGACTGAGATAATGAGTGTTATTTTCTTACCTGTAACACTAGGGACACAGTAGCACTTGTCTCAGGTAGATACATAATGGAGATCACTGTCGGCGGTAGCTCGTGGATAAATATGCTAGAATACTAATGAAGTTCCTCCAGTACCAGCTCTATACACCAAACCCTAGTCCCAATACAATCCCTTGTATACATACCCCCGGGGGAAAAACAACATACACCAGTCGAGAGTCGAGGAGGTCAGGGGGAAAAAAAAGGTTAAACGAACATTTATGCAAATATTTTACCTGGTTTACAGACCTAAGCTGGTCAGGCAACAAGCAGAATAACGTGGCCAGAATATCTTCCGTCTTATGGAATTCACTACATACAGGGTTAAATGGCCAGTGTTGTCATGTGGTGCCAATAGTTCTTTGACAAAAAAAAATGTTTGTCGTAATCTTTTGGAGTTAATCTAATACCTGTGGGGATATTTAAGGAATTTCGTAACTTGTTTTAAATTCTGTGTACATGTGTGGAGCTTAATTTAATTCCAAGGACTGGATATTGTCACCGACTTTAACATCTGGGTCAGTTACAACGTTTACAACCCAGCGTGCTTTGTGGGGTGTTTGACCCTTACTAAAGGTTTAGGGTGTGGATTTATGAAAACTAGATACAGTATATACATTTGTATTTATGAGCCGGAAAAAGATTGTCTGTAGATTCTAGCAGGTAGGCTGAACACCTGTGTACCGAGCTGTGAAGAGATTATCTGTCTGTGTGTGTGGGTCTACGTATATGTATACCCCTTATACCTGATAACTTTACCCTGTGTCAACGACTGTATGTATATATGATATTTACAGCAATATATTCCAGCATTTCATATTGCGATTGTTTACCTTGTGCACGATCCCTGTACACATATCGTAGAGCGCCCATTCAGCTGATGATTTATCTATGGGTGTCCCATGCCAGCTTACAACTGTGACAAATGTGCTCATATTTACAACGTAAAATACATCTTTTGAAAATGCTGTGTGGACATACAGGTTAATACACTTGGAATTTTTTACAATTTTTTCGCATTTTCATCGGATGCCCTCTTATATGTTGGACAGACACTGGATTGCAACACACATGATTAAATCACTCACGGAGTAAGATCTTTATAATACCATACAGGTTGACCTTGATGATAGTATAAGGAAAAATCGTGCCAGTCACAACGTTGTGTCATTAAGGAACAGAAATTTGTGAAAATCCAGTATTGTATGATACATACCTGATGCGGTCAGTGCTGTGGTTTCAGTGCAAGATGATGTTGCATTCCGTGTATTAAGCCACAGGATTCGACGCTTTATCTAATTCATTAAAGGATGTCAGACGCAGATGTCATCCTGACTTGATTATACACCTAGACAGCTAGGACTTCATCAACAGTGGAAATACAAATATTAATCATTTCCAGTGATATCACTTTTAAACACTAAACTAAGGAAGGGTCTGAGGACTGTTTATCGCCAACTCATGACCGATATTCTGATTGGTGGATAGATATCACACCTGTGTTTATACTGTACGCGAAACAGATGGACCGGCTACATTAGTGTCTGTAGTCTTGTCTGGAACACAATAACATCTCCACAAGTCATCTGGAAATACACTTGGAGAACATATGTATATATACACATATGAAATTTATATTCGAAAGAAGGAAAAGTGTATTATATATCTAGATCTTTGTGAGTTCAAATTTTATTGATGGTCAAGCCTCAATCCAATTACTTAAAGGAACGGAAAAAAGTGTCTTGTTTGGAAAACAATGGCAGCTTCTCAAATCAACTGGAAATACTTGTAAATCAAAAACATTATTAGTGCTGTGGAAATTTTGAAGAGAAGCACAATCGGAGGGTCACAAATTAAAACAAAGCATTCATGCAATTTGTGAATGTTTATGTGCAGTGCTGTTCTTGTGTTTATCAAAGATCGATTACAGTGATGCAAGGACGAGTTTATGAATAATTTTTAAAAGATTTATTGTGTTTGCTGATGGCCAATAAACGATGAAAATTTTGTCTGTAGTTTCGTGAACAATCAATATCATCTGAGTCACTCATCAAGAAACCTGAAACAGTTTATTGAATAGCAGATATAATTTCCATTGAAGGATCGTGAAACTGCATACATGTAATTGCGGCAGACATATCGATTAATAATCGCCACGAATCGCATGGTTACTCGGTGAACTAGTTTATCAAATTACAGTGTCCTAAAAATAAGACCATCTATCATATTTTTATTTGTATTGGAACAAGAAGTTGTTGAGAAAAGAAGAAAATTTACGGAAAACTGATTTATTCACGTGCAGTGTATAAATAGTGTACGTAAGCAACTACCGATTTTGCGCGTCAGATCAAGTATAAAATTCTTACTTGGTAGTCGGATTCAATAATTCTTAACAGTTGAATATGGCCACCACCACTAGCAGGACAACAAGTAGAGGCAACCTTCGCTCTGGTAAACCAACGCGCGAGATGCTACGTCTGCAGTCGCTCAACGACAATACAGAAAGCAATTTGTTCCAACGGAGACGTCTTAATTTTGGAGGCGAAGATGAGGGTCACTATTCCACTATCAATGGTATAGATGGAACGGCTGTACAACCTAACGGAGATAAAAGGTATTGATGTGAATTCAAAATTGTTTTATCTTAAACTTAGTTCTAAGAATGCTTTCGGTGAGTACTAGTTTAAACAGAATGTTTAAGGCGGGGATCTGTATTTGGAACGTATATATATTGATCTAGAGCAGCTGGAATAATGACTACTTCACAAGAATCTAGTTTTGATTAGAGCAAAAAATTTTGTGTGAAATATATGTATGATCCTTTTCTTAGGATCAAACATTTTTTTTTATTTTTAAAATTTTAGAAATTACATTTGCCGTCAAAGTCAGTATTAAAAATGTTAAAGTAAAAACAAACACGCTTACAAGGGTAACATTCTTTGCCAGCTGTCATATGTTTTCTTAAAATATTTGCGTAAATTGACCTCCAAATATTACAGTCAATCCAGCTTATAAATAATATTAATATGATTTCACTTTCATGTATCCATATTTCTGAAATATAAGTTGTTATAGGTCTAAAGTATACGTTTGTACTGAAAAAGTGGAAAGGAATATTTGTTGTATGGACTCGTGTTAGGTTGAGTCTTTTTGTACATGTATACTACGATTGTTCATGTCTACCGCTGTACATATATACATGTACCGATGTGATAAATATATATATATATATGCGTATCACCTGGCTGCGAGGGTGAAGGACTTCTGTCCGCCTGAGGCTTGAATAAGCAATACCAGTAACCTGTACATGTACATGTTTAGCATTTTATTAACCTGATGGTTTTTGTTTTAATGTTAATCTGTTGATAACATGATAAAACGTTATGGAAGTCAGAGTCTAGATCTTTACAAATGAACTATATATAGTGAAACTAAGTACCTGAAAAACAACATAATGTGAATGTATAAGGTTCTGGACGTGTGAGTGAAAACTATCATTATTATTAATTAGGAATATTGTAAAGTTTACAAGCTTCTGGTTTGTTGAGCTTCATTAATCAGTAAAGCTTACTAATACTCGAAGCTAAATTTTGAATCAATGATTTAAAATGAAAAATATAGTTCAAAAAGCGGGTGTTCCAGAAACAGGTTTGTCCGTGTGTCACTGCATGCCACAAATCATATGGCATCCCATCGTACAACACTTCCTACTGGAGTTTTCAACCTAATTTCTTAAAACTTAACTGTTTAGTGGCCACACTGTTAAATTATCCACCAGCTGTTGTTATTTTTTTTTAGATGAGATTATTTTATCAGAGTTATGCCCCTTTTACAAAATTGTTGGCGTACTAGTAACTCCTCCTACAGTTTTCAAATGAATTTTGTGAAATTCAACGGTTATAATCACCCCTCTCTGAAGTTGTGCACATGGACTTCATTTTTAGGTCACCTGAGACAAAGTCTCAAGTGACCTATTGTGATCGCCTTTTGTCCGCCGACGTCGGTCGTCCATCGTACGTCATGCGTCCGTAAACAATTTACATTTTCAACTTCTTCTCCAAAACCCCTGAACCAATTTCAATGAAATTTTGCAGAAACCTTCCATGGCCAAAGGTCAACAAAAATTGTGGCTAAGCGCCTGAGGGGCGGAGCCAAAAAGGGTCAAACTGGGGTCAGTGTGCTAAAATTTCGTCATTTTCCTTGTTTAGAATCAGAGGTGCTAGTTTCAAATACTTTTCAGTCTTAAATATGTATGCTAGTTATTGAATAAGGTGGTTTTATTGTTTTTTGTCACTTTGAATAATATTTCTGTTCATCAACTCTCTGTATAAATATATCAGAAATCAGGTGACCGTTAAGGCCCATGGCCCTCTTGTTTTCATTATGTTTAATTTTATGGGAGATATACCCCCTTTTGTAAATTAATATTCAAGTATTCATTCTGATTTACATCATGTGCAGAATGATGCTCTTAAAACCTTTTAAATTCTGTGTACATATGTGGAGCTTTAAAACCTCATAAAACCCTTTAACAGACTTCAATAAAATAGCTTATTTTGTCATCACTTGATAAATATACATTACAAACTGCTTTATTTTAGTTTTATTTGGGAGTGGGGTATTTAAGATAGCCTTACAGTGTCTTATAATACAATTTTAGTTTAAATTGTTTTAACTTATTCACCCTGAAATTTCATAATGAACTATTCCAACCTTTGAATTGGAAGAGTTCAAATGTATCTTCAGGGTCGAATGAGTTAACTTGTTTAATACTTAAGGGTTTGATGTAATCTCCCTTATTACTGGTTTAATCGTAATCCTTTTAATCTGATACTTGTTTACTGTATACTGGTACTGATATTCTCCGAACCTCTTTACCTCGGGGTACATTAGAAAATCTCTTATATCTTGTTTGTTTACCATACATCAGCATTTTTCAATTCTCGATACCCGGGTAAAAACATTTGAATGAGGGCTGCAGATTAAATACCTTGATATCAGGTATTGATCCAGGTAGATGGGCAAATACTTGGCTTCTATAAAAGTCTGGAGATCTAGTAGGTTAATGATAGCCCCTCAATGATACGAACTGTAGGTCGCTTGTAATCCTACTACATGTAGGGACCAGCCGTGACTTGACATCAATATTAGAAAGGTTGTTGAAATAAAGAAGGTTTTTAAATGAAAGAGGAAAAAAAAATGATCTAATTTTGCAAAATAAATTATGATATTAAGTCCACACAGCAAAGGAAGACCACATGATGAAATATTATAAAATGACTGATGTTTCCTAAAATCATTGTTTATCATCCCCTGGCCCTACTTATTCTATAGGGTGGCCGCCAGGGCAGTCAGAAGTTACAAGAATGTGCAGCGAAAAAAAAATGAAATTCCTTTGTTACAGAACTGATTTTTTAAAATTCCCAGTCTTCAAAAATTTTGCAATATTTTCCAATTTGAAAATGTACAGGTATGATAGTAGTTTCTGGTCATGTGAGAATGAGCTTAACATACATGTATGAAAAATTGCTTGTGGTATACATAGTACTGTACCTGTGACTCTAAATGGCAATTTAACACTCACTGACTTAAATTTCATGGATGAAGTACTGAAGAAAAGAAATAACTTATCCCTGAAAAAGTTTTGAACTTCTGAGTTATAAAGTCTTTATATGCCTCATTTGCCCACAAAGTTTTGCTCTCTGACTCTGGTATTTGACAATTTGAGGTTTTGTTGAATCACAAAACATTTAATCTTTTCTTACCTCTTAGAAGGGTTAAGTGAAAACTTTGTGTTTGTATCAATCTTATCAACGCATGATCTTGTATCGATAATCTTTGATGGATATAGGAGAGTTTATCTTAGTAAGTCTCACCCAGGTGTCGACATATATTGTATATAAGCTGACAATTAGTCCTTTCACGCCTAAGATACTTTGGTAGACTCTACCACTCATTTATTAGGATGAGTCCATTATGGTCTACAGAGGTGAAAGGGATAGTGTACACAATATAAAAAGCAAAATTTGCAGTATTGCTGTAAAATACAAAACAGAATTGTATTTTCTAATAACTCATTCACCCCTGAATACACTTTTGAACTCTTCTACTGTTCAGAGGTTGGAATAGTTCATTATGAAATTTCAGGGGTGAATAAGTTAATTATATAGCTGAAAATTTTAAATATTGTGCACAGGTAAAATTTATCTTCAATATGTTGTATTATTTTCAGGGCAAGTGGTTTTTGGGATATGCATAACCTTTATTATAGTACAATGTCTTAAACCAGGACTCTCTCTAGTCCCCAGTTTTGTCTAAACTGGCCAAATATTGTCAGTGTAGATAGATGAAATCCAGAGATCTGTGCAAACTGGCCAAATTATGAGGTCCAAGGGCTGAATAAAAAGAGTGCACTTTAGTACACGATACAGGTCAAATCTACAATTTTTTAAGAGACAACCTAGTGGAATATTTAAAGTAGTTTCTTAACTGTGAATTTAGTCTCACCTGATTGGCTAGATCTGTCCATGCACGTGACATATATGATGGCATTGATGTTGGAGGAGCAAGTGTTTTATAATGATCAGCTTTTATGTTTATCGTTGGTTCATTATGACTGGGACAATAGCTCCTGAAACTATAGCTTGGTAGAATGAGCTATATACTGGAAAAGAGCATCTGTCTTTCCATTTAGGACAATAGAAATGGGTTTAGTTTTGAAAATAGGGACAAATATATGTACAGAAATAATGAATAGTAAAATTAATAAAAAGCTTTGCAGGGATGAGAAATGGTGGTGGTGGTAAAGTTTCCTCATTAGATGTGGTCTCTTATTTGACAGTATTACTTTAAATACCTGTAGGGCTGGTCTAAATCTCCCACTAGAAGATTTAACAGGCTTTGTAGGAACTCTCCAGTCATTTGTATGTGGCTTGCTAGACTGAGTCCAATGTCAGTGTGGTATCAAGTAAAATCTGTTTGAAATTACTTCATAAAAACAAGTTCAAACTATCAAAGCTGTGAATCTTCTGATCAAGTTGAATATTATCAGAATGTGGTATCTTGGACTTTTTTTTCCAGAGAAAGTATAATTTACTAAAAAACACACCTCATGATGAATTCCATTTGCAGGCAATAAATGCTGTACATTTATAAATTAAAGTCCGTTTCAACATTACATTATTTCATGGATGACTTAACATCTGGTGACTAAAAATTCACGACAGAAATACATTCCCTACAAATTTTTTATTTAGGACCTTACAGTCGTGTATGGAGAATTAGCACATTTAGTTGGGTTGAATAACTAGAAGATCATAGACAGGGTGGGGAATATCTTTTCAACTCTTGTACAACTTTTATGAATGAAATGTGTACAAGTCTGGCATCAGTCCAAACAGAGGCTCATTAGGGACGTGTAGTTGACCCTCCTGGCATGGCTTAAAAGAAATAAATTCTAAAGTAACTTTGAAACAAATTTCTGAGGGGTCGAATTTCCCTATCTTGCACCCCTGGTGTAAATTAAATAGTACATTTTAGCGCAATAGATTTTTACAAAACAATTGAGTATAAATCACAATGTCAAAACAATGAAAAATACGTGATCTGCACATAAGGATCTGAGATTTAGCGAGCAGGTGTGTCCATATTCTTAAAATACAAATAGTTTAGGGTTTCTTTGTTACGATAAATAATGATTATGAACGATATGGATACATTGTCTCCAACATGTACACCTAACCTTGTCATTGTCATTGTGTCTATTATGCGGCAAAAGATACCGTTCATGTATTACAAAAGATAACAAAGGGAGGTCTGAAATTTGATCTGGTTGGTTATTTAACTTATTCACTATAAATGTTGTAAAGTAGATACATTAACAAACGAAATGTCGACATGAAGTACGTGCTCTTTTATAAGTCAAGAATGTAAGTATACATGTATAGGTACAGTGTACACCTATATACTTTACCCTAGAATGATGGCTTTGAACATTAAAGAATTTTGATGCAACTTTTAGTAAATGTACCATAATTATAAGGCAATAGTTAGGTAACAGTGAAATTTAAAAAAAAAAAGGAATATATTTTAATTTTTTGAGGTAGAAGATGAGTCGCCCCTATATAACACCTGGTACACTATATACCACGGTAGTATATATATATAGCTTTCTAAGCTGTAACCCCTAAATGGTTATAATATAATTTGTGAAGCCTATAATGTAGCAATGTTTACTCCCCTGAAATGTATACAACTTCATTTTTAATTTCAGTGTAGATGTGTATATCATAGTTATATGACAATAAGCCCATGTCTGGTAATAAGCCCACCCACATACAATATTGCAGTTGAGTTAAGGATGTACACCCCTGAGAAGTCAGAAATTTCCTGTATTTAACTTTTTTTCTTATATGGATTTTTGGAAAAAGGAGTTAATGGCATAGTATAAAATGCAAACAAAACTATATGTCGTCGGTGTATTCGTTTTTGTGCTATGATCGGTCAAAGATACCAATTTAACACAACATGTGATTTTAGTTTTTTTGGGGTTTTGACCATTTGCAGAACAAATTCATACAATTTCTTCCAAGTGTGTTATCAGATACATTTGTATGTATGAATGTTTGTAGAATTGATGAAAATATTATTTTCTTTTAATTTATGGAAGTAAAATTTCTTAATCCTATGCTTTTAACTCAGAAAGCCGATTTGAGTTACCCCTACCCCCTATTTTATAATGAAAAAATACTCATTTTTTACCATTTTTTTGCAGATTAAACGCTTGATAGAAAAAGTTCTGGTATTAAACTTTTTTTAATATTTAATGAATTAAATGAAAATGTGTTTCTCGTTCTAAAATATCTACAAAAATGAGGGGTCAGTGTGCTTCTTTTTTTGTCCCATTATCCTTTGTGTTTTTTTTTACCTTTTTCGGGGTCAAAAATCAAAAGTGCTTCAGTAACACTAAATACGTAACAAAAATATCAATAATGTATAATTTTCCAGTTTCTTGCATATTATTTTTATCATATTGAACATTATAAAGTTGTACAGCAAAATTGAACCTTCAGCTACAATTAAAAATGGCGACACAATGACAATTTAAGTGATCAATCTAGTGTCAAAAAAGTTGAAATTTTGGCCTTTTTTGAAGCGCAAGAAATACACATTAAAACACATTTTCAAAATGGCCGCCAAATTGGTATTTTTTAAAAATCCTTGTAAAAAATGTTCTACAAACAACAGGCATCTAGTTTTTTGACATATTTTTCAGGTGCGTGTTTGCTAATAAACTTGATCGTAATTTGTTAAATATTACAAAAACCTATTACACCAGATCAAAACGAGACTTGAATGTGATTGAAACCTCAGAAGAGTACATCCTTAAGCAAATGCTACATTTCATTGTTCTATATAAGCCCACCCTCCACTTTAAGTCAAAGAGTATGTGTTGGCCCTTTAAGGTTTTTGCTGGATAGTATGGTATTAACAGGACATTTTCACATGAATTAGAATAAATTTATTCATCTATTCAAGCACAAATCACAATATACCAATTTTTGTAATATTTCTGTTGACCGTAAATGTGTATAACTGGAGCATGATTGGTAGGCGATAACAGAATGATGATAGCATTATACTGTATCAAGTATCTATAATGCATATTTATATACAGATCTAGAGATGGGAATGTAAATAGACCCATTATACGAATCATTTGACACAGCACATACAAAATACCTCCTATACAATGCCAGGTTTTATATAATCATGTGAAATTCAAATCCACACAGACTGCATGCATACTATATATTTAGTACTTTCATGCCTCAGCAATCCAGGTTATACAAAATAGACGATGCAATAAGAAAAAATAGATAAAAGTATGGTGAACTACATCCTGGACAGAATAATATCTATTTAATCCCATTTCTATCCAGTATTTTTCCTGCCTTTATATTTGGGGCCTAATTGAGGCCCCTATTTCCAATTGTGTATGTTGTGTATTTTTTCCCAATAAAGTCCGAAAAAAATCCACAATTCTCATTGATATTTTTTTACGTGAAAGAGAACAAAATAACAGGAATAATTTTGGTTCGTTGATTAAACAAGCTAGTCTTTCCCAGTTTCCCACATACACCACACAAAAAAATCTGAATTCCAGCTAGGTGGCAATTTCCGAAATCGGCCAGAAAAATCACTGCTACCTGTCACAGTTACTTCCCTTGGTTTTACTCTGAAAGACCTTAGCTGTTACTGAACAGGAGCTGATCATGAGAAATTTGATGCATTCCTCGTCACCTACATGTTACCATATCCTTCCTGCAATCGAAGGCCCCCGTCACAAACACAATAGGGTGTGCATTATGCCTTGTTTCCTGCAGCACATATGACTACAGGAATCAAGATATGATATTTCACGCAGATGATTTGATCACTTATATTCTTCCCTGTGTGTGTGACAGTACTTTTTGGAACCATATTTCATACATGTTAAATTCTTATGGAGAAGATCACAGTAAGTTCATCAATTATTGTTTTTTGGGCGGGGGGCGGGATTTAGTAACTGCAGGTCCATTATAACATGCTCGTTGTCCACTTTTTGTGTACATGCCAACAATTATAATATGTTTATAGTACAGCATCCTTCAGAAAGGAGCATTTAGTTTGGTTATATAATTAGCATTGGGAGATATATTGCAATAAAAAAAGTTTTGCAAAAGAAAAAAGTAAGGTAACTTTGTGCAAGAGATTGATTTTGACGACGTTGCAGCTGTTACTGGGTAATATTATATACTGTCTCTCATTAGTACATGTGGGTATACCCTTAAAGAATGTACTGAATATATATTTATAGATGTATATGTGATCGCCATCAATAATCAAAATTATCTGCAATGTTCACTTGTAGAATTTTGTCTCTGGTGGAAATTTAACAGACCTTCCTGTCTTATAATGTGTACGAAAGCAGAAATGCAGTTATTTTCAGACTTTGTCATGATCAATTACTTTCAGGTTTATCTATTTACCAGTGTGCACTTTGTATAAAAAGGATAAATTAGGTCAGGGAATCATTTGATGATAATAAATCATAATAAACTGGCCCTGCATGGGGATCATGCTTCATATTCTGTGTCCATGATAGCTTATAGATGTGTCAATTTGGTAATTATTTAGGTCACCATGCACGGAAGTGCTCTACTATCACAAGTTGACCCTTTCAATGGTCATCTAGGTCATGAAGTTATAAAATGTTTTTGTCATTACTACTTTTATGAAATATTTTGAAGTCATTGCATGTTTACAGAGGCACTTTTCTATACAAATGACATCTTGTGTTGCAATATTTTACGGAATTATTATAAGTTGTTCAGAATAGGATTTTTTGAAAACAAAGATAGAAATAAAAGAGAATGGCAAAAGCTGCAACAGTGGAACTCTGGAATCATCCACTACTAAATCTGTATTTAACTGATGTTGTTGTCCAGGAATTACAAATGCACAGAATCAAAATGAGAGATGAACAAATTGGCAAGGGAAGTAACTCTGAGCCAGAAAAAAATCCAATCTCAGGAATCATCTACTACTGAATCTGTATTTAACTGATGTTGTTATCCAGGAATTACAAATGCACAGAATCAAAATGAAATGTGAATGTTTTGGCAAGGGAAGTAACTCTGAGCCAGAAAAAAAATTCTTTCTGTTGCTTCTGTCTTCTACATTTTTTAATGTAAAGAGAGCTAGAATGACCCAAGTTGAACTTTGCAATTACAACTGGTGCAGTGGTTGCCATTACCTTAAACACGACATGTTGGTACAATGAATATTTTTGTTCCTTTCAGTAAAAGCATGTCCCTTGGGAGCTCTGTGTGCCACCGTTGCAATGAAGGCTTCGGTCCGAGTGAGCAGATCATGAACTCTAACGGGGAGATATGGCACACCAAGTGTTTTGTGTAAGTATTACAGTACTGGATCAGGTAAGTCTTTGTCTGTTACAGGATACACTATAGTGTACCATGGAAGCTTAACTCAGGAATCTGGACTCAATTGGTCAATGTGGAAAACTTCTTTTAACTCATTCACCCCCTTAAGCCACATTTGAACCTTTCTGAATCGAAGATTAGGCAAGTCCAGTTTATTTAACTCATTCACCCTTGAAATTTTATAATGAATTATTCCAACCTTTGAATTGGAAGAGTTCAAATGTGTCTTCCGGGGTGAATGGGTTAAATATGTAGGGGTGAATGAGTTGAGATGCACTTGATGCGGAGGTCCTAATGCACGAGAAACCGGATTCCTGGATATCTGAAAAGAATAAATATATTATGTCATTAAATTATTAGAACGAAACATTTTGTAATACTGTGTCATGTACAACTTCCTGTACATAAATTGAAACTTGAAAGATATAAAATTTGAAAAGAATGCTTCAGATGATATTTACAAGTGGTAATTGATAATTGAATATATACACATGTAACATGTATATGATTTTACACACAATGTTACTTGAAATGACATAACAGGTTTGGAGATGGACATAATTTCAATCTTATATATATTTTAGCCATTTTTATTTTTTTTAAATCTAGCCTGATACAAATTAGTTTTAACAGTAATGTAGTTATCTTAATATAGACAGTATTCTCGGAACATTCGTGCACAGCAAGGAACCAGTATAATTAAAATTTGACTTGTAATTCCGCTCCTCTAAGACTCCAATACAAGATCTAACAATGCACCATTTACAAGCGAAATTACAAGTCTAATTTTAATTAGAATGAGCAAGGAACCTATGAATTAGTTTGAATACAATGCTTGTGTCTGTCTAGAACAGGTGATTGGCATGGTACAGTACTGTATAGCCAGATAACCTGTATGTACATCTGTTAGTTAGTATTGTAAACCTGAAAACTAGTTGATGGATGTGTGTGTGTCGAGTCACCTGGCTGGCATGGTGTAGATGGATTAAGACTACAGCAAATGTTAGCCATAGATTTGATGGATGCGTGTGTACTTTTTAGAATGTGTGATAATTACTGTCGTACATTTGTTGTAAAATAGGTAGAGAAAATAGTTTAATGAATGCAAGTTTGAAGATTTACAAATTACATCATTATGTATCCTTCACAGTATGCATAAAATATAGACATTTATACAAATAGCTGTCAAATGTCATCATAATTAGTTAAATAATTTAAAATTTGATAATTGTTTTGTGAAAAGCATCATCATTAGGATTTTTGAGATATCAAATGTAGTGGACACATATTATTTAATTAACCCTTTCACCCCTATGTAACTTAAGTAGACTCTACTACCTGTGATATGGATGAGTCCATTATAATGGTCTACAGTGTTGAAAGGGTCAATACAGTGCATTCCTTTTAATATCATGTACCATTAAATGGAAGCATGATATAAAGAGAAATATGATATTAAGCAGTGTGCTATTAAGTGAAGTCCACAATATTATCAGTGCATACATTATGGGAGCTACATTGTATGTTCTATAGGATATCAAAGAGATATATAGATTTTACATCATGATAAATCCATGTACCATATTTGACCTTTTTCTGCCCATGTTCCTTTAAATGCCTTTCAAGAATTTTAACTGTTAAACACTTTTCTGTCCCAATATCATTGTGTACTTTGTATTATAAGACATGGCTGATATTTTATATGTTCAAAGCATCAAAAACAGGGCAATTTGTACGAACATGGGTGTTAATTATGTTGTATACGGTAGCTTGGTTTGACTACATATATACTAGCTCTGATAGAAAAACCCATGTGATCAATTTATTCTGCACATTAATGTACACAGGCATCTGCAAGCCATGCATTGCCATTGGCAGTAACTGTACATGTATTTACATTTAATGATAAAAAAACCTGATGTTTAAACTAAAACAGACCACTTTATTACGAAACCAAATACAGTAGATTTGTAATGTTATTATCAATTTTCCTTTTAATGTTAAAATACTAAATATAGTTTGAATTTTTGAATATAAAACTCATTATGGGACCATCAGATCATTAATTTTGTTCCTGTTAAAAGATTGAAAAGTATGTATTGACAGAGCTATAATATGCACAGTTTGGTACATCCTTGATACTCCAATGGTTACCCGAACTGTCGCTCTCTGCACCTCTGGAATATGTCATAGCAAAATTGAAGGTACACCAGCATTACAACCCTGAAGTATATGTGCTGCACACATATTAAAAAAAATTACTTCACTAGTATTCTCCGATATTCTTATGATTACACGTCAATACTCGTACTAAAATCTTTGAAAATATTTTTAAAATACTAAATTACAGTTAAATAAAAATAAACTCTCTTAAAATGTACATTTTGATATAGCTTATTATAGGTTCATGTTATATTAATGTTCTCTTGGTTGTCTGTCAGTGTTATTTTGTATTGATGAAGTGTACATATTTAACTGTGTAAAGGTGGTGCATGGCCAAGTGGTTAACCCATTCATCACTGTAGAACATAATGGACTCATCCATATCAATGCATTGCAGAGTCTAATGAAGCTACATAGGGGTGAAAGGGTTAAGGTGTCTGACATTCTGCTACCACTTTCCCTCCACCACTGGGTCGTGGGTTCGAGACCTATACGTGGGGCAGTCGCCAGGTACTGGCCATAGGTCGTTGGTTTTTCCCCAGGAACTCCGGCTTTCCTCCACTACCAAAACCTGACACGTCCTTAAATGACCATAGCTGTTAATAGGATGTAAAACACAAACAAACCAAACAAATAAATGGTGTAAAACACATTTAATCCCTGATACCTCCACTTTCTTGGGTAAAAACAAAGGAGATATATCTTAGCTTCCAGACATGAAAATAACTTAAATGTTAGAAAAAAGTGGGGTCTGATTTTGTAAATTTTAATGCTTGTTACATTGATTTATTGCATATAACATCATGTATTTTAATTATAAGATGTGTATCTCATTAAGGAAAGAAGTCTTGTAGCAGTGGGGCTTTTTAAACATGAAATAATTGATTGAATTCTATCATTCTAATTGTGAATATATCCTGTATTTATAGAAACCACCTTTAGGAAGTACATAAGTCAGTTTTTGATTGCAGGTGGTCTCTCAATACAGGTTCACTGAATATGAAAATAATTGTGATGCAAGTTTATAAGTGGTCTCTTAATACAGGTGGTCTCTTAATACAGGTGGTCTCTTGAGAATGTTTGACTACTTCTAGTAGGAGATTGTTTTCAATTTGGATTTGAGTTTTTAAAATGGTCTCTTTACACAGGCAGCTTCTTAATAGAGCTGGTCTCTTGAGCAGGCTTGACTGTGCTTCTAGCAGAAGATATCATTCAATTAGATTTGAGCTTTAAAATTGGTCACTTAATACAGACAGTCTCTCAATAGAGGTGGTCTCTTGAACAGGTTTGACTGATTCTAACAGGAGATTGTTTTCAATTTGGATTTTAGTTTTTCATGTGATCTCTTAATACAGAGAGTGACTCTTAATAGTGGTGGTCTCTTTAGCAGGTTTTGACTACTTCTAGCAAGAGTTTTTGAGCTTTAAAATTGATCTCCTTATACAGAGAGTCTCTTAACAGAGGTGGTCCCTTCAGCAGGTTTTGACTACTTCTAGCAGGAGATTTTTTTTCAATTTGGATGTTTAATATATAACCCACCTGACCATTATATTTACCTATCCCATATACAAGATAGTTTGTACACATAGTAATCTTATTACACTTGGTCTATATAAGGCTGCACTTGAACTGTAAATTCTTGTTAAGGCAAGGTGAAGTTTCAGGACTGCTGGGAATTCTAGTCAACTTTTTATGGCTGTTATCTTATCACATATTGTAGGGATGTGCAAATATTTGAAGTTGGCAGTTTTGTAAAACGAAGGTTGATCATGGTTTCATATACAGGCTGTTGACAGGAAGTGACCTTCTATGGTTATGTACTATTTAAATACATAAACTTTATAAAAAAAATCAACAATTATAAAACAAGTTTTCTCAGGTAACATTAACCACTCTTGTTGGCCGGGATGTTAGGGTGGGGGGGAGGAGTAGTCTAAATGTGTGAGGAAATCGGAGTACCCGGAGAAAACACATATTTAACTCATTTATCCCTGAAATTTCATAATGAACTATTCCAGCCTTTGATTTGAAAGAGTTCAAATCTGTTTTCAGGGGTGAATGAGTTAATGTAGTATTTGAAGTAAGTAGTATATTTTTAACCATATACTTTGTAGTAATTAATATCATCAAATTGAAATTGAAAATGAAATACTTTAATATAACAAAGCGAATCTGGATGAGATGCAACACTTATTAAATGTCACCAGGAACAAAATGTAGTATCTAAATTGGTTAAAGTTTTGATCCTGCTAGAGGTTGCATATGTACACTAAATGTAGATTTGGTGTTCTGGGCTAAACATTATAATCCCCCTGGCCACTAAAGATATACCTTCATAAGATGATGGCTTGAAATGGGTCTTGCGATATGAGTCTACCCATACATGCTGTGTCTAAAGACAACAGAACAGGACTATAGATGTCAGCATCTATTTTCACTGTTCTGGCTGAGGCACGCATGTTTGGAGTTCCTGAGGTTTCCAATTAAAAAGCTATCCCATATATTTTACTTAGTACATCTTTAAGGTAAGAGTCCACAACATCTACGAGAAGTGTCTTTTTTGATGAAATGTGCAGGCCAGCTGCATTAATGTACAATGGAAATTATTTAACTTTAATTTTACTTTTGATTCCACCATTGTAAGATAAATGGATTTGTGAGACAGTATGTTGTATAGATATATACAAGGGCACAGTTGGACAACTGGATTACTGGTGGCTTGATTAACTCGTTCACCTCTACACATTTAAATTAGACTTGCCCAGTCTTTGATTCGGTGAGGTTCAAATGTGACATTAGGGGTGAATGGGTTAGGAGACCTCACTGTACTTTAGCTGTATAACTGATCATGATATACTGGGGTGTATAAGTAAGGTTGGACCAGCTGACTGAATGTAATGTAATGTCTCGCTTTCAGTTTCAACAGGACATAGAAATATAAAAACAAACTGCCAACATTTTTCCTTCAATAGATCATATTTCACTAGACTGGTGTATCTCCTAAAGTTGAATATGAACACTGTGATGATTTTATGATCAGGAAAATTGAGGATTTAAAGGGGAGAGTCAAGTTCTCCATACATAAATAACCCATGGTTAATTTTATAGACAAATTTCTGTAGAGTTTGACACTTGATGGCTATAGGCAGTCACTGGTGTAAGACACTCCTGCTGCGGATCAAATGATGTATCATCTTTCCAGCACTGTGTCACGACTCACTACACCTGGTGTTGACAGCAATCAATGGTTCCATATAATACCCAGTGATATCAAATGTAGAGTGGGGTGAATGCAAAAGAAATTACCCCAAGCTGAACATACACAACTCAAATTGAGGCATATAGACTCATGATATAATGGGTAAATAGCCTGTTAATTGATGCTGGGATGAGGGCATTCAAGTTGGGGCATGTTTATGACCTTGACAATTTTAAAGTTTAAACCTGGGATCAATTGTGCTAAAATCTTTTAAACGGCTTCTTCTTTAGAAACATTGGGCCTATTAGTTAAAGAAACTGAGATGGAGGGTCATCCAAATTTGTTCAAACTAATGATCTTCGCCTACTTTAAATGTTAAGGTTAAAGGGAATCAAAAATGTGTCAATATATAACTTATCTGATTTTCAAGGAACCATGAGGCATATTCATAATACAGAATATGACACCTTATGAGGTGATAGGCAGTATGGATCTTTCCAATGAAAACCTACACTCACTCTCAAGGTCACATGGCTCAAATGCATTAAGCACCCCAACAACTTCCTCTATAGACTACAGAGCCATAAGGCTTAGTGTCATGGTATTTGAGTTGTTGCTTTCTGAACAAACAGTATTTTAGATTTGTTGAAATGAATGTCCAAAACTATCTTTCAAGGTCACAGGTGTCAAATCAATTGAAAACCTAAAGCAACTTCCTCTACAGAGCCATAAAGCTTAGGGTCATGATATCCCTGTTGTAGCTTTCTGTACCGACAGTATTTTAATTTGTTCAGATGAATGTCTTCAACTCCCTTTCAAGCTAACAAAGAAAAATGTAACATATTACGACCAATGGGCCTCTTGTTTATGAGGTTCCAAAGTGTACCAGAATTTGATAATTGTATTAAGTCAACAATATAAAAATATGTCGGTAGATTAAATGACAGATTAGTGACTGGCTAATGATGTTGGAATTCATATGAAGAACAGTAAAGTAACACGCGCTGATTATAACCTCACTTTAAACATAATATCTATATATAACTTACTAAAATGCATACCATTGTTGAATGATAGTTACATCAGATTATTGTTACTGCATTTTGCACATGTTCTCCCTCAAAGCAGGCATGTGTCCTTTTTGAAGTGTTATAGCATGCAAACATACATTTGTATTGAACATAAATGAATGTACGCATATAAATTACTCTCCTATGCATGATACATGTACATGTATTATCCCTCCTGATATATTCAGCTAGAATAAAATAAATACAAAATAAATAAGATTGATTTGTATCATCAGTTAAACGTAATCTGAAATGATTAAACATATATATACCTACATATTCTTGAAAAAAATGTTTTCCCGACCATTCTGAAATAGATGTTATAAATCTCCTTGTCTTCATATCACTTACAATGTTGCCATCAGGGTTTCAACAAAATTCGTAATTTACACAATTTATACAATTTTTTTTTACCATCATTAATATCTCCTTTATTTGTAATTTGATAATATTCTTTGTTACTTCCAAATTGTCAACTATTTTCACTGGAACCTTTTTGGAAGAAAAAGATTGACTATAAAAGCAGCAAAAAATTGGAATTCTAAGACTAAATTGTGAAGCCTTAAGCTAGCTATTTACATCATATGTAAATTGAAGTTCAGAGATGAATTAATTGCTTCCAATGTTGGAAATGCCCAAAATGCCTTAGGTGCATGCTCTAAGCTACGTTCTTGTATATGTTACACATGTAAGAATTTCGTATTTATGCATGCAGGCCAGTATTTATTTTAGCATGATACATATTTTGGTTACCATTTATGGCCTTTGGTAATGTTTTTATTAAATTTCTTATAATTAATTTGCTTCATCACTGTTTTATTTATCACTTTTGGTGTTTGGAAGAATTATTTACAACTTTCATGCTTATCATTATTATTTTTTCTTTGCTCAATCTTAATGCTTTTTGTTTATCTTGGTAATGTGCTGTTCATACACCAGTGAACTGCAGAAAAAGCCGTATGACTTGGCATGTGCAAAGTGCAGTGACTATCTAAATCCGTGGGAACAAATGATTAACTGCAACGGGCAAGTGTGGCACACCAAATGTTTCGTGTAAGTACTAACCCAGTACCACATGTGGGAGCTGCTAGAACCACATGCGGTAACCACCTACATTTTTTGTTGAGCTCATATATCAGAACACATGTTTATCCCTTTCACCACTGTAGACCATAATGGACTCGTCCATCATTCACCCCCTGAAATTTCGTAATGAACTATTCCAACCTTTGAATTGGAAGAGTTTAAAGATGTCTTCAGGGGTGAATGAGTTAAGTTCAATCTTCTTCGTGGTGTTTACTTGTTAACACTTTTTCGGCACCACATGTGGTTACCAATAACCACATACATACATTGTTGAGCTCTGTTACACATCTCTATTGGTTCCTATGTGTATAGGATCATGATTTAAACAAGCGTATTACAGATATTAAAACGTTTCATATATATACCTAAGTCTAGCTCTTATGACTTATGTAGTGTTTTCTTGCTCGGACATTTTTACCAGAACCACATGTGGTTTCCATTTTTTTTTCTTTTTTTTTCTCAAAGGTGTGGGAAGGTGGTGGTGGTCCAAGAAATCTGTGTTTCAAACAATCTTGTTTCAAACAATCTTACTGCTTTTGAATTTTCTAGTCAATGGGGGGGGGTGTCAGTGAAAAATGCATAAGGAATACATGTGTGTGGATAATGCAGAAAAAAATGCAGCACTTTTGCTTATAGGTATCAGGTGACATCAGCAAATCCAGCAACAATGTACATGTATATATATTACCCCCTAGTATTCTGGAGCAGCATATGGCATCAATGAAACATTGTTTTATTTAATTCATGGGGTTCACACTAACATGAACTTCAGGTAGAGACAGAATTAAGTCTGTGTTAAATGTTTATAATGACAAATTTAATAACATGTAAATACTTAATAAAAAAAACCTGGTCTGTTATTTTCATTTGTCACCTGTAAATAATGATTCTGTCAAATGGTATACTCAGATATATATATACTTTAATTAAAAAAAAGCAATCACCCCATGCCTATTTGATGTACAATGAAGCCATACACAATGTCTGTGATTGTAATTAATGTCACTTCTATTTTCGATGCATGCTGATTACCATAAAATAAATTGATTTAAAAGTTTATTTGCATTTCAATTTTCGTAAAAAAAAAAATTCAAAATATTTTTTTGCTGGTTTCAACCAGTACATGTACAAACATTTAAGCTGATGAAGAAGTCGTTCAGGGCAATAGAAATCCATTCTGATGGCCTGAGGCCTGTTCATTTGGGCCGAGGTAAAGAGAGAATCACGTACAGTATGTTTACTTTCCTGACAGACCATAATGACAGTGACATATAGTCAAATATACAATGGGAAAATGAGTGCTTAATTCTGTTTAAAACAGATTAACTTATTCACCCCTGAAATTTCATAATGAACCATGCAAACCTTTGAATTGGAAGAGTTCAAATGTGTCTTCAGGGGTGAATGAGTTAAAAAGACTACGGTTTCCATGAAACAGACATAAACATGTATGTCAGACCATGTAACGGGACAAATTTGTTCAATTTCAGGCAAAAACTTAATAAAAATTAAAGCACTTGATTGAAAAACTAATATTAATTATAAGTTCTCTGTTGATGCACTCACATTCTTATGCTTAAGCCTTAATGTCAAGGATGTATAGTCTTCTTCTGAATCTATGGAAGGCAGAAAAAAAAACGAAAAAAAGAAGGAAGATGAAATAATTAAAAAAAACACACTGTGTTCTACAGTAAAAATACCACATGGTTAGAGTAGGGTCAGAACCTAGACCTCTGATCATTCATTATACTGTTTCAACCAACTGAGCTATCTGTTCTATGGAGACATTGTGGCCCAGTTAATTGTGCTTCAGTCATATCCAGAACGAAATTCAGGGGAGGTTACTCTGAACAATTCTAGTGGAATTCTCTTGTGTTTTAAATTTTGTTGGTAGTCGGACAAGATTCCTTAACTGATAATTATTTCATTTGTATGTTTAGCCCTTTCACCACTGCAGACAATAATGGACTCATCCATATCAATGCATGAAAGAGTCTACTAAAGTTACATAGGGGTGAAAGGGTTAACATCGATATTGATAACAGTCATCTATTATCTACAGCTGTATTATACACAAGTTTATAAAATTGTGTACAAAGGGAAGGTATGAATTAAATTACAATACATGTATATTAAAATGTTCAAAAAATAATGTTGAGAAAGTCCATTCACCTTGTATTTCTTTATATAAATGTATATAAATGTGAATTCTCTCTAAGCTGGTAAACAAGGTGCAGAGCAGAAATTTTGTACAAATAGGTTAGTTCATGATGCTGTAATGATAGTTTTATGATGATTTAATGCAAATATCAAGGAATCGTTCATAAAATGCTACATTACATGAACATGAATAAATTCAAAATATTTAGATGTACGTAAAATGTCCTGTGTTAGCTCGCTCACGTTGTAAATAATATGGCAGAGAATGCAATTAACATTTTTGCCTTTCATATTTGGTAAAATATTTACTCGACCATAGCAAGGCTTGTGAACACTGCTTTACATGTTTCGAAGAAAATGGCAGCTGTTTGGTTTATATATGCAAAGACAGTTAAAGTGTTTTAATTGACAACTACAGTCGTAATACAAATTTAAAAAAAAACAATTCAATACTGAATGTCATTACAAGTGTATGTATTCAGACATCACATGTACAATTTTGACTCATTCACCCTAAAATTTCATAATGAACTATTCCAATCATCGAATTGGAAGAGTTCAAATGTGTCTTCAGGGGTGAATGACCAACATTTAAAAATTGTGAAAATTGTAAAATGATAAACTAGCTCAAATAAAATATGGGAATCAATGAAATGTTTGAAGATTATCGAATGCATCAATAGATTTATTTATTTATTTACGAGTGTTTGAAAGTTTTTTATTACAACATTGTCATTTATTATCTAATATTGAAATTTTTCTTTAAAACAAAATTTGCTTGAATGTTAATGTGCAAAATTCCAAAATTCAGAGCACTGGTCATGAATACAAGAAAGATGTAATTACTTCAATTCTGACACTTCACATTTTATAGAATATTTCAATCTGAAATAGGACACCAATTGATCACAGCATCTTGCACTACTTGAAACAGTTATATATGTTATTGAGTTGTGTGTGCATGATATTTTCATTTTTTTTATTTTGAGAATAAGATGTTTTGCTTTGTATTTTGATTTGCCAATATTTCAGTTACTATATGTTTTCTCTAGATCTGTGTGATTGATATTTCTGATAGGGAACTTCAGATAGATTTGACATGGATCGCGGAATCAGATAGAGTTACAGTGTGTTGGGATGAGTAGGTGTGTGTGCTGGTGTTTTGACTAGAAAGACGTAACCTCTTGAAATGCACCTATATAAGGTCATTAACAGTCAGTCAATATCAGTCACTTAGATTCAGATTGATAGCCTTATCCTGTATGTGTGAAAAAATCCATTAACATTTGTCCTTAAGCAACTGTAAGGACTGCTTCGATAGGCCTCTATTTAATTTCTTCTCTGCCTGAAAGGGAACATGAGGATAACAATTTAAAATGGTCCACCTTTTTACACCTAAACTGATTCTTCAGTTGAAAGTAAGTTCCTTTCAAAGAGGACTTTTTCACATGTACTGTCAGTATAAGTTCATCGTAAGAAGGCACTTAATTGATAAATCTACTACATAACGGTATTTGTAAACCGCCACTTAAAACAAACAACTTTGACCTCTTATTCTGAAAACTATGACTTGCATATTTGTAAAGAACTGTTTTAAATGTGCTGGAAAAATCGCTTGAATTATAAGTCTAGAAAAAGTCTGATGGGGACTCTGTCAGACTTCACAATGAAGTTGTTCACCCCTGAAATTTCAAAATGAACTATTCCAACCTTTGAATTAGGAAGAGTTCAAATGTGTCTTCAGGGGTGCAGAATTTAACATATTCCTCACATGAATTGAAATCTGTCTTCTAAAATGTACATTGCTATTTTCAAATCGTGGCTCATAACTATCAAGCATGTTTCCCTGTTTTAAACTTCAAGGCCTTCTCCCATTCATTTTACTCGTAATTATATACCTGGTATAACATCCTGTTTACCTGTACATGTGGAGATCCTGGCTTGAATGGCTTTATTGGGAATTAAGGCAATTAACATATGGTTACTGATCTGTATAAAACTCATGCAAATTATGCAATACCATAAACACTTTAAATGCTTGTGTAATCTCATACGGGGTGTTCTCAGTTCCCCCACTTTTAAGAGAACAAATTAAAGGAAGACAATGGCAAAGCATTTATGGTCTGTTTCATACTTAACTTACCTGTGTGGAAGCCTCTCATACTTGCCAACTCTCCCAATTTTGGAGGGAGACGCCTAATTTTGGACCCTTAAATTGAGCATTTTCAACCAGTGAATTTGCTAACCTATTTCTATTCTGATCTGATGATTTTATCTGAAAGAACAATTCAATTTAGGATTCCATTTAAAAGTGTATTATTTCCCCCAATGGTGTACCAAAATTGGTATTAAGAGAAAATCGACATAAAATCAGGTGATAATAATAGAATTGAATTGCATAGATTACATAGCAGGAAAAACGGTGCATCAAAAAAACATGATAATAACCGAAAAGTGACATTAATGGATGTGATATTAGACGAAATGTACTGTACCATTAGCCCGATTGTCCCTCCACCAGGCTCTTAGACCTGAAATTATTATTAAAGGTGGCTAGAATTAGGGGATTCAACTGCATATATTTAATATTTTGACCTAACATATATTATTTGAGAAGATTAAGTTGTTTAATATTTGCTTTTTTATAACTTTACAGATGTGCTCAGTGCTTCCAGCCGTTCCCAGAAGGAATCTTCTATGAGGTATAGTATTATAAAATTTTAGTTGATAATCATTGTTTCATTTATAATACAGTATTTTTTCAATGTCCAGAATCTGACTTGGTTCTCTTTTGTCAAAAATTTAACCCCATGTTAACTCATTCGCCCCTGAAATTTCATGATAAATTATTCCAACCTTTGAATTGGAAGAGTTCAAATGTGTCTTGAGGGGTGAATAAGTTAAACATATTTTACATGCACATAGTCTTGTATGAGAGTCCAAGTCTTCAGTATGGATTTTTCAGTTGAAATACAATATTTTGATTCTTAATGAAAACATCTGATGATTCTTTATCAAAATTTTTGACAAATTCAGCCAAAGAGTTTTGAAATTACTAGAGTATTTTTAAATCAGTTAAGAGTATCGGTTAGAAAGGTTGAGTCCATCATGATGTTTAGAAAATCACTAACATATAATACTTGTTTTTCAGTTCGAAGGCAGGAAATACTGTGAGCATGACTTCCACGTCCTGTTCGCTCCATGCTGTGGAAAGTGTGGTATGTAATAGTTTGTTTACATGTGATACTGATAGGCCAGGGGGGGCTGTGCTATCTATAGCTTTAAATGTAAAAGAAGACACATCTTTATTGGCTTCAAAATTTTCATCTCTGCCTTTTAGCTCATCTAACCCTAGAATCATGATATTATGCCAGTAACTTGCTGAAATTTAGTGAAACGAAATTCAGGAAATGAAAGACCATTTCAGTCAGACACATCAGAATTTAAAAGTAATGTGTTTGCAACTTCAATATTGTAAATATATCTTTCTCATGCTGTATATTTTACATATTTCCATACCTGTAGAATTTTGACTCTTGGACATTTTCATATTGGCATCCTGTTGCTGCATTATGTAGTTTTCATACTTTGTCAGTGACTGAGTGTTGTCAAGCACAAACTTGGTTTCTCATTTTCCTGGTAGTAAATTCTAAAAGCAAAAGTAGCAAATGTCTACAGCATAAACATCAGCTTAACCTTTAACGGTATGTTCCATGTGACCATGTCTAAATGATGTTTGCAGGGGAGTTCATCATCGGGCGTGTGATCAAGGCCATGAACGGCAGCTGGCACCCCAACTGTTTCAGGTGCGAGATCTGTACCGGACCACTGGCTGATGCGGGCTTCGTTAAAAACGCTGGAAGGTAGGTAAACTCGGATAATACAATTAGAAGTGCCAACCACTCTGTGTTTGTTTAGGTGAATATGACTGAAGGATCTAACATTGGAAACAGATTTTTCCAGATTGACTATAGTTTTGATAAATAATTTCTGAACGGAAAAACCTTACTTTGTAGGCCTTTTCAAGAAAAAATGATAGAGATGAAATAAACAATCATCAACCACAGTGTTCGGAGTGTTAAAATGCAACAAGTCTAAGGTTCGAACCCTGGACCTAAAATACTGTGGCTCTAACCAACTGAGCTATGTGGTAAACGGACGTTGTGCTACATTTATATCCAAAACAAAATAAGGGGAGGTAACTGTATATACAAAATACTACTTTTAGTATTTAACTGCATTGAATCCCCTCTCAGATTTTGATTTGTTCTAGGTACTGTATGTACTTAGAAAGAAGTGGTGAAAAAAAAGAAATCTGCTAAGAATTTACAAAATTAAATACGATGGTAATAAATACAGGATCAATACATCCAATTTTATTTTGATACTATTTATGTATCAAAAACCAGTAATGGTAAAGAAATATAAAAAATAGAAATTATATAAAAAGCCTGTGTTTATGTTAATCAGAGCACTGTGCCGAGAATGCAATGCCAAGGAGAAAGCCAAAGGACTGGGGAAATATGTCTGTCACAAGTGTCAGTGAGTATATTACGTAGCCAGAATTCAGCTTCAGGAAGTGGTCATCAGTGACAAAATTCAATCTTGTTCTGATGCTGATCACAAAGGATTTTTTGCTAAAATTTTAGATTGTTGTTAAATGATTCTAACCCTTTCACCCCTATGTAACTTAAGTAAAATCTTCCATGCATTGATGTGGGTGAGTCCATTATGGGCTACAGTGGTGAAAGGGTTAAGCATTTACTATGGACTTTGATATTTCACATGTTATATTTGTAGGCCTATTTCACATTCAGTATCGCCTTCCAGTTTTGTACCTCCTTGCATACATGTACATGTATGCACAGTGTTAATGTAATAAGTAAGAAAGATATAGACAAGTAATTAATTTGTAGCTTTTTGTTTTTGAATTTTGTTTCATTGTCTGAGACATGAAAAATTGATCAAAGAAATTTGGTACTGATCATCATTACAAAACATGTATATGAATGTAATAAACGGACGCGTAAAACAATTACTGCAAGCGTACATATAGTACTGCACTGACAACTATCTGTAGGATGCAGTGATTTGGTAATTGGCACGGAAGGCGCTAAAATAATATCAGTGCTAAAATAAGCATCTTTAAGTCTAATTTGTGATGTGTACAATAATTTAATATGCAAATATTAAATTAAATGTATATTCGTATGGTATAACAGAAAGAATTGTATAATTTATGTGATTATTAATTTTTCATAGCTCAATCATCGAGGAGGGCCACATCCGCTACAAAGGGGAGGCCTACCACCCATACCACTTCAACTGTTCTTCGTGCAGGTAAACTCTTAGTGACGTTAATGGATGAAATATTTTATAATCTTTTGCAGATATGGATTTAATATAATCTATCATCCCTTTAGGGAAAAAGGGGGGATCTTTATTAGGTGGATACTACTTAAATTGCCAGATACAAAGCTTGCTGAGGGTGAAACAAGAATTTCTCTTACCCTGGACAGGTGTTTCCACACAGTGTGAGATATTGTTATCTCTTACCCTGGACAGGTGTTTCCACACTTTTACTGGTGTGAGATTTCCTTTTCTCTTACCCTGGACAGGTGTTTCCACACTTTTACTGGTGTGAGATTTCCTTTTCTCTTACCCTGGACAGGTGTTTCCACACTTTTACTGGTGTGAGATTTCCTTTTCTCTTACCCTGGACAGGTGTTTCCACACTTTTACTGGTGTGAGATTTCCTTTTCTCTTACCCTGGACAGGTGTTTCCACACTTTTACTGGTGTGAGATTTCCTTTTCTCTTACCCTGGACAGGTGTTTCCACACTTTTACTGGTGTGAGATTTCCTTTTCTCTTACCCTGGACAGGTGTTTCCACACTTTTACTGGTGTGAGATTTCCTTTTCTCTTACCCTGGACAGGTGTTTCCACACTTTTACCGGTGTGAGATTTCCTTTTCTCTTACCCTTGACAGGTGTTTCTGCACTTTTACCGGTGTGAGATATCCTTTTCTCTTACCCTGGACAGGTGTTTCCACACTTTTACCGGTGTGAGATATCCTTTTCTCTTACCCTTGACAGGTGTATCTGCACTTTTACCGGTGTGAGATATCCTTTTCTCTTACCCTGGACAGGTGTTTCCACACTTTTACCGGTGTGAGATATCCTTTTCTCTTACCCTTGACAGGTGTATCTGCACTTTTACCGGTGTGAGATATCATTTTCTCTTACCCTGGACAGGTGTATCCGCACTTTTACCGGTGTGAGATTTCCTTGTCTCACCCTTAGGGTTGAGACGGAGGGATTCCCCTATTCATAACAATGGTATGACGTCATGTCAACAATCCATCAACGTCACGTCATGTCAACAATCCATCAACGTCACGTCACGTCAACCCTGAATTTAGCATGTAACGTTATCATTACATTATGTAAATGATGCACAGTGGGTGTATATGATACACAATGGGAGAACAGGGTGAGAGAAAAATAATCTCTCACTCCCTTGGGGGGGATATAGGATAATCTCAACCCTCGGGGAAAGATTTTGAAGTTGCCAAACACTCGATAAAGCAACTCGTGTTTGGCAACTTAAGAATCTCCAATCTCACCCCCAAGATTCTATTAATCTCACACCAGGAAAAATGTTGATACACCTGTTCAGATTTAGATACACCTGTTCAGATTTAGAGAATACTAGATCAATTTAAAATGCAGGGAAAATTATATGTGATACACATTTTGTTTCAATGTTTTCCATACAGTGCATCCTAATTGTATACCTTATATATTTTTCAGTGGGGAACTTAATGCGGATGCAAGAGAGAAGAATGGCGACCTGTTCTGTCTGCGTTGTCACGACAAAATGGGAATACCTATTTGTGGAGCCTGCAGGTATATTTCTTGACAGATTCCTTCTTTTACAAAAAAAGATTGTATAAATGATCAAGTAGTAATTCTATATAACCATGAATGTTTTTTATGAGTGAAATGTTTACTATAGTTAAAGTATGAGTTTGATGGATGTAGCAAGGTTTTGGTTCCCCTAGACCAGGTCTGTTCCCATGGTGAAGCCGAAGGAGTTAGGCCTGGTTGAGGGGAACCAGAAACTTGCTAAATCCCCCAAATCCCATACCGTAAGTGTTTATTATTCTGAATCAAAATGTATAGGCAAAGAATTTTTTCAAACCAAACTAAGTTCTAAAAACCTATCTATTCGTTAACCCTCTTACCACTGTAGACCGTAATGGACCTCCCCATATCAATGCATGGTAGAGTCTACTAAAGTTACAAAGGGGTAAAAGGGTTAATACAAATGTATTGTCTGCACCCGAGTCTTGTAATTGATAACAAGAAGGAGGGGTCTAGTCACTACAAGCTCCTCCCACATCTTGCCTGATTTATGCAGTCATTACTGCGAGGAAGATAGTCATACAGGGATGTTTTAGTTTTCAGATTAACACACAGTTGAAGTAGATGTATAACCTATGGTAATTCAAAACAATTTAACCCATTCACCCCTAAAGTCACATTTGAACCTTACCAAATCAATGACTGGTCAAGTCCAGTTTAGATATGTAGGGGTACCGGTGAAGGAGTTAAAGTAAAATATTGAATGAATATTATAACTATTTTTTGTGTGTGTTACAGGCGTCCAATTGAGGAAAGAGTGGTTCATGCCCTGGGAAAAGCTTGGCATGTAGAGGTAAGTTTTCTGATTAAATTAAAGCCTTTATATGAAGTTCTTGGCATTCATGGTATTGAAAAGGAATTTAATATCCATGAATGAAAATAGAAATTATAGTGATAAACTCAAACTTATTCCCAAATTCTTGCCAGTTCTCATTTGTAACTATAATATGGTTTGATTTTTAAAACAATATAATAATAACTAATAATAACAAATATTTTCTTGTTTTTTCAGCATTTTGTGTGTGCTAAGTGTGAGCGGCCATTCTTAGGCACCAGGCATTATGAGAAGAAAGGCTTGGCCTACTGTGAAACTCACTACCATCAGGTAATACTATCACAGCCTGCTAGCTTAATGCAATGCGAACCAATATTTTCAGTCTCAAATATTTTGTATTCAGTGAAATTTATAGTCAATAATGCACATGATAGAATTTTAAATGATCATTTTAACAAAACACAAAACTCATGTTAAAATTTTAAGCATAAGCTTCCCATAATCTTTTCCAAGTATTCTGATAATGAAATGCAACATCTGATAACGTCTGTGAAAAAAATGACAAATCTTCCCCTCTCCTCTGTGTCTATAAAAACGTAGACTAAAACAAGTGCCATTCTCTAGTGAAACAAAGTGAGACTTCGGACCAGTTGTCCTTTTTCGATTGCCGTTCAAAAATCCTCATATATTTTGATATTTTGGAAAGTCTGTGGTGGTTTTCCATAAGGATACAAGAGGATCAGACCAGGATGAAGGATTTATTTTAAAAAAATGACAACAAATTTCATTTTCATTGAATGTCCCGTTGAATACATCTCATTGCAGTATGTATTGTCATAGAGCGATTGTAAATTTTATATTTTATTGCTTGTTTCAGTTGTTTGGGAACATCTGCTTTGTATGCAATTGTGTGGTAGCAGGGGATGGTAAGTGTAACATTTCAGAGAAACAATTATAAAAAAGAAAACCTCATTTAAGGCGGTATGCTTCTTTTTACAAAAGAGTTCCATACAAAGTTAAATATATTTTATGAATGGCAATTTGGGCTGCAAATTAACCTGCAAAATTGAAAATGAAGGGAGATAACTCTCACACTAGCACAGGACTTTAAAATTCTATAAATGTCTTCTCTGCACGTGGATGGGGAGGAGATGTACAGTCCTTATCTCAGAATCCAAAAGGCTAATCTTTTGGAAATTTGACAAGGTGATTCACAGTTATATGTGGATATGCAAAAGGGCTTTAAAAAAAGTGTTTAATGTCAAAGTCATTTGTAATCACAGAATTATGCTTTGATTAGAAATAAAAGTATATAGCATGGCAGCGTAATGGTAAAATTGATTGTTCACACAATATCTTATCATGTTGGTCAGTAAATACGAAATTAACATATTCTCATAGAGCAAAAACATTCTTGTATTATAGAATATAATGGGTTTGTTCTATGATTTGTTACAGTTTTCAGTGCCTTTAACAAGTCATGGTGTGTTGGACATTTCGCCTGCTCCATCTGTGACAGGAAGATGAGTCACAAGTAAGTAAAATTACGTACAACCAGGTAATAGGTGTCGCATATCCGGTTGGTAAAAAAGGCAAAAATTATACTACTGTGAAAATTTCCCTGTAGATAATACATATATATAGTGTTTCATCATTCAGTTTTTCACACCTTAACCCTTTCAGTAATTTTTGAATTAGCTTTAATTTTTACAAAAAATATTTCCAGATGTATATGCAACAATCTTCAAAGTTGAAAGGAAAATTAATTTCCATGAGACTTAATACTATAAATTGCTTTATTTTTCCTCAAACTGTATATTAAATGAACCATGTCTGTAGTTTACAGATAACTTGGATTCATGATTAAGACTTAAGAGGATGCTATTTCAATTATTTGCAGTTATTTTCTGATGGAATACATTTTTGTGGAAATTTAAAAAATTCATGATTGAATCTCCTCACAGATATACTCAAAAGTTCATCTCTTGAACAGTTGAAAATAGCTTGACTTACTTAACATATTTTGTATTAACATCATTTAATGGTCAGGTTTTTTCTTTTGTTTTCCAGAACTAAATTTTTCGAATTTGATTTGAAGCCAGTTTGTCGAGTTTGTCACGAGAAGTTTCCGGCTGAGTTGAAGAAAAGACTGAAGAAATATCACGAAGAAGTAAACAAGAAATCATCCACTTAATTGTTGTCGGACACAAATAGGTAGTCAATGCTTTAAGTCATTAGTATTATGTATGAAATGTGTATTGTGTATTGAGAACCTGTCATTAAGGCTAACTTTTATAAGATGGAAAACAGTTACCTGTTACTGCCAAACCTATTTATTCAGTGTTTAAAATTATTTCCATTATGGAAGTAAAAACAATTATTCTACACAACTTAATGAATCGTTTCACTCATGATGTCCAAGAGTTTGATCGTCGGATTAATTTTTGAAATATTTCATTCGCAATTTCAAACATATGTCGGCAATCGTTTCATACCAGCTATAAGTGTTCATCTCACATCAGCATATAAATAAATACTTGACTAGCAATAATTTCAACAGAAATGTTTGGAATACAATTATTTAGGGGCCGGCGTTGCCAAGTGGTTAAGGCGTCTGACATTTTGCTACCACTAGCCCTCCACCACTGGGTCGCAGGTTTGAGACCTACGTGGGGCAGTCGCCAGGTATTGACCGTAGGTTGGTGTCTTTTGTCGGGTAACTCTGGCTTTCCTCCACCACCAAAACCTGGCACGTCCTTAAGTGACCATAGCTGTGAATAGGACGTAAAATTCAAACAAACCAAACAATTAATTAGTGCTGGCCTTAAAAAATTAATTGTTTAAGCTGATGTTAATCCATTATTTGATTAGGGCAAGCCTTTGTTTGCAGGTTCCTGTGTATTTATCCAATTCAGGTATTGAGTAAAAATTATAAGAAAAAAAACAAATATTTATTTTTTGTACAATTCTTTAATTGTTTCATATTTAAGGATGCATGCTACATTAATCCTGTGATTTATATTATAAATTTGTGTTATATTGGAGTTGTTCCCCTTAACAACCTTTCGGAAATCAGTATTTCCAAAGTGTTAATGGTAAATACCATTCAAAAATATTGTCGATAAATTAACTCATTCACCCCTGAAGACACATTTGAACTCTTACAATTCAAAGGTTGGAATAGTTCATTATGAAATTTCAGGGGTGAATGACCTTTATTGAAAGTGAGGGTAGCATACATCCTTAAGTTGTTATTGCTGAAGATAGAACATGAAAAGTAATTTTTTTCATGGAGATATTTTACATGAACAAAAATGCTTTTTTTATTTTTAATCAATTTTTGGGAAGTGTCATCGTCTGATTGATGTAAAAATGATTTTGTGTATATTAGCATTGATATATATATATTCTGTCAATTATTTTATTATTATTTGTGCCTTTCTTTCCACATGGTGCCATATGTCGGGACAAATTTTTCAACAAACTGAGGAGAATATTTGTCACTGGTGTATTTATGCCACACGTGTGAAATTTTACTTTAACACGTGTGGTTGAAGGGAGATAATTTGCAAAAAAATGTCAGGATGTTAATTAATCTGATTGATTTTCTTTACTTAAAGATAAATAAAACATCAAAGATTACCTAAAAGTGTCACAACAACTTTGTATATGGACACATTTTTGTGTTTCGATACTTATGATGCTGTTGATTCGATAACTTTTCTTCTAAAGTTAAAACGGCCCATATATACAATTGCCGGCAATGCCTTTTATTACATTATACTTGTATATGTTATATATGCATACCATATTTTTTTGAAATAGTTAATAAACTTAAGTTATCATTAGATGACTCCAGTATTGTCAGGTATTTTTCTTGCGGTAAATAGTGTTGAACCCTTTCACCACTGTAGACCATAATGGACTGATCCATATCAATGCATGGTTGAGTCTACTAAAGTTACATAGGGGTGAAAGGGTTAATTAAATGTTTAACTGATAAGAAGTGAAAAATACTCTTTGTTTACCTCACACAGGTTATGCATGAAAATCTACATTTATCCATAACCCTTTAGTTAGAATGATTGAAATGTTTTTATGAGTACAGTCCACTCATTGTTAGAAATTTTGACTCAATACTAAGTAACTTGCCATCAAGTTATTGTAGTAATGAGTCATTGGTGAGGTTTTTGAGTCATTAGTCAGTATTGACTTGTTTTAGAAGGTTTGAGTAATTACTCATTCTTAGAAATAAATGAGAACTCATTTTAGAAGTTATGAGTAAATTGCTCATTATTAGGAATATAGGAGTACTCATTTTTGAGGAATGAGTAATAACTCATTATTAGAGATAAATGAGTACCCATTTTTGAAGTAATGAGTAATTACTTATTATTAGAAATAAATAATTACTCGTTTAAGATTTTAGGAGCAATTACTTATTATTAGAAATATACGAGTAATAGTTTTGAGTAATTGCTGATTTTTATAAATATATGAGTACTTGTTTTAGAATTTTTGAGTAATTACTCATTATTAGAAATATATGAGTACTCGTTTTAGAACTTTTAAGTAAATAATCACTGCCAACTCATTGTTGAAACTGCTCTTAGATCATAGAAATATCACATCTAAACTGTTATGCTTAGCGTCCACATTATTTGTAAAATAGTATAGTGCCTTTGTTAATGTTAGTGCCGAACTCTTAAACATCATTTTCCTGTTGTTTTTCTTAACCCCTTGGTAATGGCAATTTTTTTTTCACCATAAAAAATGGTTTTATTATACAATGGCTTTACTGTTGTCCAATTTGTTTTTAAACAGTTTTGAAATCGTACAGTGCTGTCTTTACTTTCATTAACATTCTTTTCAATAGTATTAATTTCAAAACAGTTTGTAGCAGAGCTTTCAGTTCAGTTGCCAAAAGTACATTCAACCACCGTACTCCGTGTGAACGTTTGCTTTCTGTACGCCTGTTGTGCATTGCTGTCATTATTACAGCAAATCTGCTGCTCGGTGCTTCATTGTTTAGAAAATCCTTTAACTCTTGAAATGTTTGTGTGTGCTTGTTTTTGATATTTGTGCTGCGGAAGATTTCTGCTGGATTTTTTTTTATCACAAAATGAGTTAGAGCAGATATGGATATCTTGTTTTAATGTTCATAATGTTCTTGACTAAATTTTTCAGCAAGACATTTAGGGTATGTGGTCATTTATCACATACTTGTTGAATCTTGTTATAGTAATACAAGCAATTTTCAGACCATGAAATACAACGTTCTATATTGCACATGTGCAATACGGAATGTTGTTTTTACCTACTAGCCGGGACTATTTTTTATGGGAATCCCCTTGCGATGGCGAACTGAAAAGTTCCCGGTATTTGCAAAAAATATCAAAGTTTATAAAATCTTTGTATCAATCTCTACCAAATACGGAAGGTATGTGATAAAAGCAAGACCACACACTTTTGTTTTTCTAACGAATCAGAAAGCACTCATTTATTGTGCGGACCTATATATTCATTCGCGCAATCAACTTGTGCTTTCTGATTTGTTAGAAAAACACAAGTGTGTGGTCTTGCATATGTCTCCCTGCCAGTAACCTCAAATACAAGTGATTCATAGTAATTTGCCACTTATCTTTTTTCAAATTTCATTGCTTCTTTTGTATTTCATTGTTGAATTATTTCAAAAATGTAGCGACCAAAATGTATAATTTGATTGTTAATTCCTCTAACTTGTCATTTTGCTTGTAGTGTTGAAACTAAAAATTTCCCCAAAAATTAATTGGGAAAAATATTTGTAAAAGATACAGCCAAAATATTTTGAACCTATGCATTGTTATAAAAAGTATGCAAGACAAATACATCCAATTAACTCGTTCACCCCTGAAGCCACATTTGAACTCTTCCAATTCAAAGGTTGGAATAGTTCATTATGAAATTTCAGGGGGTGAATGAGTTACGATACAAATACCTCGGCTTTTTCTCAGCAGTTATGTTTAAGTCTTGTTGTGGTTTGCAAAATTTTAAAAAATATGAAATTTCTGTATGTTATTAATATCCTTTAATACAATTTAACTACAGTAGTTAATGCCTTACAACTGTGATTTTTGGCAATCTTGTGAAAATGTGCCTTTCACATTTTGTTGGATTCATGGATCTGACATTGCAAAAGCTCTTTATGGTGGCTGCATTAAATTTTCAGATTCTTTTGTCCATGAAAACTTAGACTGCTGCCAAACTTAACGAGTTTACAGTATCATGAATAATTTCAAGGAATCATATGGGTCCTTGTAGTTTTTCACTTTTTCTCTGATGAGAGAAAATTAACAAGTACCATGTTAGCGTTGACTACCTAATGTGGTTTAAGAGAATATTATCCCATCAAAGTTAAAATTCAAATATATGTCCAATACTAGACCGGAGTTCCCTGTTAATTCCATAATGATAATTGCATCAGAACCATATTGTTACATCAAGCATGCACAGATTTAAATAACTTTAAATACAGTGGTTAGTCTTCTGTCCGATTTAATGTCCATTTTCTGCAATGTGTTTCATATGTATGATTATCTATTCGTTATTGTGTATTTATAGTTGCTTTTTGCGCATATAATCCATAATCCATATTTAGTATTTAATTTAAGTTGTAAATTTAGGTACACATTTTAGTTATGTATTTATTTCTATTGGAATGCAACCTGTGTGCATTTATGTATTTTCCTTTTCAAATTGATGATTGAAATCATGATGTCGTAATTCAAGACTTTTGGTACCTAAATATTTAAAATTCAAGAAATGTTTAGTGTTAGACACATAATTTTTCGCAGCCCCTGAATGAATAATCTTCCTCAACCAGCCTATTATTTTCACAAGGAGCCGAAATAAAAAAAAAAGTACATTCATTTGTCATGGAATTAGCGTTAACTCATTCACCCCTGAAATTTTGTAATGAACTATTCCAACCTTTGAATTGGAGGAGTTCAAATGTGTTTTCAGGGGGAATGAGTTATTACGGTACACTTAAAAATTACTCTTATATCTAGAAATTCATTTTCTTTTTTTACACTGTCATTGAATTTTCTATATAGTTCTAATATCTTGAATATCTGTTCACTAAATCTTTGAATAGCTTGTTCCCCAATTTATCTCAAGTTTCACTGTATAAAACATATACGTCACAATAACATTGAATCACTGCCAAGTATACGTGTTTGTTTATCCATGGTGTTGTGTTAGAGTCTTGATGTAATGGTATACAAGGTTTTTGTCATAGAATTGTTACAACTCTGAACCATGTTATTGTAAGGATCACTCATAGCTTGCTTATTATTACATATACAATTAAAATATGGAATGTTTAAACGACTTGTATTTTCTATGTTTTTAAATTATTTTTCCCACGATACTTTATCGCAAATTCAAATCGGTTGGACGACGGAACTAGATTATTTTGTGTATATTTATGTGTGCTGTGACCCATATCAGTATAGCATATGTGTATTTCAGACATTTGTAACGAACCCCTGTGAATGATATGAGTACTTGCAGCTGATGGACATGCAGACAGTGGCATAGCATACATGTATGCTTGTATGCTCAAGCATACACTAAGCCGATTTATTTTAATAATATATTTTTATAAATTTCTCTTTGACAAATTTGACACATTGACAAATCTCGAAGGATTTTGGAAATCAAAAACTAATTAGTGAAGTAATATATATATATATATATATTATTCTTATAAAAAGTTAGGTTTTACTTGTAAATAATCAGACTAAAAGGAATTCCTAGAACATAGGAGATTGCTTCTAGAGCCTAGCTGATTTTTTCCCCAGTTATGGTAGGGGGAACTCTACGCGCCTCGGATGCTAGATCTGCTGTTAGCATACACCCCAAAAAATGATTTGTTACGCCACTGACATAATTCCCTCTGTCAATAATTACTTGGTGATGACCTACGTCTCGAAATGCTTAATGTTCATTATTTGAGCACAATAAACATTTGTAAAAAATAAAAGATTATCAAAGTCTGTGGTTTGACACATAACCCAAGAGGTAAATAGTTAATTTATTTGATGTGGATACACATCCACATGAATTGAGAATATCAGTAATTTACTGTATAGCATTTTGTAAACAGATGGGGAAAATGCTAATAATTTTTGGTTGAAAGCTTATTATCCTCATTGAGTGATTGATAAATGATTAATTGATTGGTTTTAATTTTCGTCCGCTTTACTACCAAGTAGTTCTATTATCCAGCAGATGAAGAAAAGACAGGAAAATGAGTAGAAGGGATAAAGTGTGGAGTGAAGGAATAGAAAAGGGACTAGAGGAGAATAAGGAAAAAAAAGGTTTACCATAACGCCACAACCAATAATATCGGAATCGATAGCCCGAGTTTCCTATGGCCCCGACACCAGACTTAGACATTTTGACAGATACATGTCTGGTACATCTATCTGTCAAAATGTCTTAGTCTGGTGTCGGGGCCAGAGGAAACTCGGGCTACGGAAACGAATATCAACAAAAGACAACGACATAGGTGCTGTCATTTCGGCGTTCACAGCTAGCAATTCTAGCACTGCCCAGCCACGTACTCATTTACAGCTGAGTAGACTAGAACAAGCGGAGTAAAGTATCTTGCTCAAAGATACAACACAGTGGCGTGCTGAGGCTCGAACCCGCAACCCCTCGGTCACGAGCCCGGTGTCAGACCACTAGACTACTGTGCCTCTAGTGTTTTGAACACAAATCAGTGCTGAGATTATTCTTTTAAATATTTTAGACAAAACTAATATAGTTTAAACATATTTTATTGACATTATATTGACAACAGGATTAGTCGGTAAGTTTTTCCAACTTATTAATTGACTTCTCCTGTATTAAAGACAAATATAATAATACACAATTGTCACATGATGGTAAGAAAATGAATATGTTATTAATGTATCGTATTCATAGAGAAAGAGAGAGAGAGAGAGAGAGGGGGGAGGAGGAGGATAAGAAAAGAAACAGGAGACAGGACAGGAGTGGGGTCAGAGGTTGGAGAGAAAGGGGTTGGGTTGATAGTTAGTCAAATATACCCCGATCTTCCCAGGAAATGCTTTGTAGCCTATTATATGGCAGCCCTCCAAGCGCACATAAGTCATTACCTGTCATGGAGGGACAAAAATAAAAAATCACTTAAAATTGATGGAGGTCTGCCAACAGTGACTTGGACGAACAAGCATATCCTAGGGAGGAAGGGTTAGTGGAGTCAAGAAGAGGAAAGAAATGGATTGATGGAGAAGAACGAGGCACATGAAGAAAAAACAGGGAAAGAACACAAGGATCTAAAAGGCATAGTAAAAAAACTATATACATTACTTATATGTAGCAAACAGTTGGCACCAGCGATGATCGACTTTATAAATTTGTCGACCATACAAGAAGATACAAGATACTTTATTTAACATCGCATACGGGTAAACAAGGAACATTATGGGCTGAGAGCTATTATTGCGACAAACATATGTAAAAATAACAATAACATATTATATTACAAGTAAAGGGAGATAATCACATATATTAATAATAAAATAAAACAGTAATAATCATCACAGAAAAAGAAAGTATACATATCCCAGGTTTCTAAGTGATTGGGATTCCCCTACCTACAAAGGCCCCGGGATATATATATAAAAATGGTGTTAATATATGAAAAGCATTAAATATGATCACAGATAAGAAGTATTCAGAATAGGTAAATAAAAGACATAGTTAATAGTGAATGAATACTTGTATATCACACAAGAAGTACTTAGGACTTAGGATTAAAACACTATGAAGTGGAATATACATACAATACTAATATAGCAAAGAATAAAAATTGACAGAATATACACTATTATAGTGTGAATTAAAAATGATACTGAAATCAATTAACAAAATTTATCAAGTTTTGTAAAAAATTGTATTTTAGAATATATGGAATTAAAATACAAATAAGATGCAGCAAAAATATAGAATAGAATTAAAACATATAAGAAATGAGATAAGACAATAAAAGTATCACACAGTCCAAAATGTCAGGTGGCAGAGGTAACCAGGGCACAGTATGAAGTATCACTCTTTGCAGATATTGCAAAGGCAGATGGGGCCATCCCAGGAATGGACCAGCCTCCTGAATTCTTTGAAGTTTTCAACTTTTCTGAAGTCATATGGGAGACTGTTCCACACCCGGGCGGCCACAAAAGCAAATGATTTATGTCCATACTTCACAGTGTTGACCCTGGGCACCTCTGCAGTATTTTCTTTCCTGAAGTCATAATTAGACATCTTAATATTTACAAGATTATGAATATATTCAGGAGAAATTTTGTTTATAATTTTAAAAACCACACAACCCATTTCCTCCAGACGCCTTACATGAGGCCTGTCGCTGTTGGTAATACTGAGTAAGTGTCTGAAGGATGAGTTGTGATCATTATGTATAAACCTTAAAGCTCTTTCTTGAATCTTTTCAAGCTTTCTGACACTCTTCATGGAACAAGAGTGCCAGACTAAAGGACAGTAGTTAAAACTTGAAACAATAAAAGAATTATAAATTACAAGTCTACCTTGTTTGTTTAAAAAACTCCCAATTCGCTTTAAAATGGACAATTGCCTTGAGGCTTTCCTACAAATTTCAGAGATATGAGCTTCAAAGTTTAAAAATGAATCAAAGTTCACACCTAAAAGTTTGACAACACTGTCAGGAACAATATCTATTTCGCCAACACTAAAAGACTGTATAGCATCTACCGAACGTATCCCTATACAAATGGCCTGGAATTTATTAGGGTTTGCTTTAATCTGGTTTAATATAAACCAGTCTATTAAATTTTGACAGTCATTTTTAATATTATGTTTTAAAGCATTTGGGTCTTTATTTGATTCACTGACAGTGTTGTGGTCTGCATAATTATATAATTTACAGGATGTCACATATAAAAACATATCATTTACAAATACATTAAAAAGCAAGGGTCCTAAAATAGAACCCTGGGGTACCCCCTTCAACATTTCCAGCCAGTCACCGCATTTAGAGCCAATTTTTACATGCTGCTTCCTGCTGCTCAGGTAGCTGGACACCAGGTTAACTGAGGCTTTACTCAGGCCATAGGCCTCCAGCTTCCCGACCAACAAGTTACGAGGAAGACAGTCAAAAGCCATGGACAGGTCCATCAGTATGGCAGTGACATACTCATGGTTGTCCAGGGCTCGACGCCAATCCTCAGCAAGTCGCAACAGGGTGGATTGACACCCAAATCCTGGTCGGAAGACTGCAAGGAAAGGATGAAAAACATTACTAAAAAGGCAGTCAGTTGATCACACATGGTTCTTTCAAACATTTTTGATATACAAGGTAAAATGCTGACTGGTCGGTAGTGAAAACAGGAGTGGTGAGGTGGGTGACAATACATCGACAGGAAAAATGGCATAATCATAATAATGATAAGTTTGAGAAAAAACACAAATGTACATTATGGAATTCATGCGTTCATAAATAGGATTGTAATATAGCGTATCCAATGAGAATCGTATTAAAATGGAATCACTTTAAAAGATTACCAATGTTAAAAACTTAAAACTATAGCAGAAGCATAGCGACATAATTGCAGTTTTAATGACATACACCACTAAGGATATTTTTTGTAACAATGTAATAATTCATAACAATACCAGGATCCGTATCCATGGAACTGTTCCGATGCTGAAATTAGATTCTGTCCTGAAACCGAATCTATTGTTACGCTGATAAATTTATGAATCGGTGGTATGGAGGAATTTTGGGGATAGATAAAGCCGAACACCATTTTCAGTGCTTGAATTTTACTCTTTGAAAATGTCACGTGGTAAGTAAGTAAGAGGAAAATTCATTTGAACACGGAATCCACACTTGAGCATGAGAACGGTTGTTAAAAATATACGGACCCGGGTGTACGATAATATCAATATACAAGTAAACAATTACATTTTTTCCATCCAAAGGCATCTCACAGAATCATGTTATATCATGCTTCCTTATCCTCTGATCTCTAATGCAACATGAACTAGTCATGCATACCTGTGACCACACAGATTTTTGATAAAATGGAATCGTGGGAGAGCGGCAGCGCAATGATAACTCTTTGATAACCTTTTAAGCACAATTTTCACTTTTTTTAAACATCACGATTGGATTAGCCAACTGTTTGCGTTTGGTTTTGCCATAACCCATTCCAAGGGGAGGGAGTTGTGCCACTTCAAAGATGCGAGACTTGAGGAGGCAATAAAATAAAGAGGATGAATCTCTACTAAAATCCGGTGGTGAAAACATATAAAGTTGGTGGGAAAGCTACTTGATGGTTGCTCACTTTTGATTTTGATTTTATATCAGGATTATAAAATTGAGCATTTTACAAGCATTCCATACGTAATAATTTTGAGACACTGTTTAATGTTGGTGCCCGACGCCGGCAGGCAACTGCATGCCTGACAGGAAAGTGAAAGTTGAAAATCTCAAACATTCCTGACACCTGCGTTCAAGATTTGTGTTTCAACTTCTTGTTGCTGAATAGAATACTGTTTTAGTATTAGTAGGGGGTTTTTTCGTCAAAATTTATGCTCCATTTGTTTTTCTGCAGCAGTAATGAGATTACTGGAATTGGTTAGACTGTTGTTGTCAAATCTAACGCCATCAACATTCATATTGGTTTTATTGTCCGTATACTCCGTTTTCGGGCTGTCGTCCGAGATGAGTCTTTCTTTTTCCGGGTCAACACTTTTGGTGTCTCTTGTAAGGTTATCCAGAAGGGCTTTCCCTTTTGTTTCCGTCATGAATACGCATGCTACTGCCGTCAGCAACATGCAACCACCGGCTAGAAAATACATAATTCCCGGCACGTCGTTGTTCTGTTAACACACATTAAAAAAATATGAACAAAAAATAGTTAAATATAACGTTTTAATGTGCTTTAATTCCGTCTTTGCGTATTGCAGAGTTATCTTCTCTTGGGAGCAGGTATTGATTGTTACGTCATTGGTTTGTGTTGGAAAATTACGTCGTTTTCTCAAAAATTTAGGACGTTACTCTCACAAACAAGTGACGTAACAATCAATACCTCCTCCCAAGAGAAGATAACTCTGCAATATGCAAAGACGGAATACGTGGTATAGAGTTCAGTACAGCATATATGAAAACTGTAAACTTCCTCAAAATTTCGCATCAACCGGTTAAATAATCGAGACAGGAACAATGTAAGGTTTTTGTAACATGGAATTTACCATGTCATTCTTTATTATTTATAAACATTTGAGGGAATTTATTCTCAGATATCAACTTTTATAATCATCTATTACTCAAATAATTGTTATGATGAGCAGTCATTTATTTTGTACGCTGAAAATGTGTAGACGTTTTAATTTCACAAATAATAATGTCCATGAATTGTCATAAAAACAAGAAGAACTTCCAAGTTAATATGATTTAAACAGACAAATACAAGAAAAAACTTAGCGTCAACACACTATAGGCAGCATAGGAACTCAATGTCATGAAAAAAAAGAAAACTGGAGCGAAAACAACTGCAAATAAAACCGAGTATATGATAAAGCATGATTGGATGGTTTGGTTTAGTCTTAAAGAGTTAAACGTCCTATCAACATCTACTGACAGTTAAGGCACGTGTCTTCATATTATGTTACGTATGCGTGTATGTGAGTGTGAGACAGGGTATGTTGGTGTAATTCTCTCCATGTGATAGCGTGGATCTGATACCGCCTTTATCAGGTTGGGGGAAACCACCAACTTCCGTATAATACAAAAACTCACCTATTATACGCCGGTTGGAGTATGGATTTGCTACTAAAAAGAACTAAATCGCTTGAACAGTAACTTCGCAATATGCTATTAAAACTCGCATTTATTTACGACAAGCTTTATAATATTTTGCTATCGCACTGAAATACTATGCCAACGGCACTTAGCACAGCATTCCGCCCAGTCACATGTTGCTATTACCATTCTAAGGAACTTTGGTATGTCCATGCATGGGACATACAGAACCCATTACTTTCCTCACCTGGGCGAACGTTCAACATTAAAGCCAAAAGTGAGGCATTGCCAAACAAAGCGCTAGGAAACAAAGGTGTATGGTAGTTGGTAACATTAAATTTGGATTTTTGCCATTAATATTTGACTGGAGAAATATAAGAACTACTCACAAGATATACTATTTTCGGAGCTATCATACTTCCGGCTCTTGCCACCGCACTTTGCAATCCATAACCAATGTTTCTAAAAAAAAAATACGAAACTAAAATCTTATCAACATGAAAGGGGATATATATATATATGTTACCGTATTCTGACAAGCATCTAAATTTTAGATATCTTGAAATCGGATGAAAAGAATAATTACATCGATATCATCAGTTTAATGTTTAACAAAAATATAATAGAAGATAATAAACATGAAATATAATATAATATAATAATATGATTCGTAATGTGCCATTTACTGAAATGAAAATGATAATTGAGATGCATATGATTCTACGTTATTCATACCATATTTACAACACAACATTTTATGTCGACACTCAACGTTGAAGATTAATTTAGCTATTTGTTCAAATATAACCATTACATACATTGTACCACTGTATAAACAACAACGGTATGTTAATAACATTCTGAGCTGGAATCAATTAGGGTGGGATTCGGAAGTTAAACAATGACGACCTTACCTCACGACAGTAGGATAAGACTCTGAGGTCAGAAGTTGTACGGCTGACCATCCTATGACCACTGCTACTTTTGTTATCAGGGCGAATATCGTCCTCAAGGTATCTTTGTCGGTGATATCTGGTTTCGAAAAACAAAAATGATATCATGAGAAAAACAGAGTAAAATTGACTTACGATTATAGCACGAGCAGATAGCACAGATATATACAAGGTATTTTTGTTATGGTTGCTGATAGATGCATCAGCGTGAACCTACACAAGGACATATGTGTCGTTTATTCTTCATGTGGTTCTAATTTTCGCGGTGATTTTTTTTATAACGAAGCAGTTTGTTGAATTTGATTATAATTTTTTTTTGTCATAGACACGTTAAATAGTTTATTTCATTTGCTATTTTTACAAACGTTTAAACGGCGACATATTACAAGAGTTACACCCTTTGTGTAAGGTCAATGCAAATACCGTACATAATCAATCGATGCTAGCTCTCTACTTATATTATATCTTATAATTCCTTAGCAGCCACTCAACAGGCCCTGTCTGCTAACGCCCTTCGCTTTGCACTTACCTGATATTTCTATAGCAGCCACTGCTAGCCCTGCCAACCCGCCCAGGAGGTAGAAGGATACGGCCAAAGCCCTCCGACCGATTGTGTTAACGAGGATATACGTAAGTATCATAGCCGGAATGTCTATCACTTGGATAAGGAAGAAATTAAAGTAGATGTCCCCGGAGAGATTCTCAACTCCAAAAGATATAGCGTAGTATACATAGGAACTGCAAAACCTGCAACAACCACAAAACGATTTACATAGAGACATTGTAATGAATGTTTATTCATGTAGTACTATTCCCGATGAAATGTAATTGATGTACTCAGAAATAAGATCAGTTTGTATTATAACCCTCTTGATGGGAGCAAGTGAACATTATTTCAACATTTTTTAAATATGAACTTAACCATCACATCCGAAGCGCCAAGTAATTGTACGAACCTGCACAGGTTAGCATCTACAGAAAATATATACAGATGAGTAAAGACCAAGATCAACAAGAGTGATTAATATAAGTAGTAAAAACTTGTTTTTTTGTCATTACATAGAAAACGTATCATTTAATTGTTGTCCATCCACTTTCGAGCTTATGGTTTTCTTTATATTATCGCATTCTACAATTGGCTTTATTTTAATGACCAGACAACTGTCAAATACATGTACATCAACGGAATTCTCTCCTTCATCCCTCAAGATGCATATCATATTCATTTGTAAAAAATTGTCATTGCACAAACACGTGTTTCTGATGTTTATCTGTAACGATTAATTACCAACTTAAAGCCAGCAGGAGGGTAGTTTTGACAAGAAACAACGAGCTGAAAAGGTCCTTGATGCTGTAGATCCGCCTTTGATCTTTCTTAACCTCTAACTTTGCGACCTCACCAAGTTCTCCGAGGTCAGGCGCTGGCTTGCCGTTGGTCCTGGCTATTCTATTTATAACAGCCTCTGCTTCGGGGAGTCTATTGTGTGACACCAGCCACCGAAAGCTCTCTGGTACCAATCTATATTACAAAAATTAAAAAACAATCACACCGTATCACGGGTTATTTATGCGGGCTTACATTACCGCGATTTCTACCAACAATAAGAAAATTAAGTTTACACGGATTCAAATTTCGAGATCTATATAGACATGTTCAATTTTCACGATGTTTAAGCACAGAGTCGACACACTTGGCATATAAACGTCAGATAGGCAAATGGATAAGCTTAATGATTTATTATAAGCATAATGAGCAACAACATGTAAGTGTATTTTGTCAAACAAATTATCAACAAAATTATAACATGTGTGACATAATTTATTTTCAAACATCTTGTATTACTCTTGATGGCAATGAATCAAAATAACCACTTGCGCGCTATTTCATGGCATTACGTTAATGGATTTTATGATCGCGGCTCATTTTTACGCTTGTCATATTATTCTGCGGATCATATCGCGAAATTGAGAAAATATCATCCCCGGGGAAATATCATGCTTTACGGTATACGATGAATATTGAGGAAACTTATTTTCACAGGTCGATCATCTAAATGTGATCACCTACTCAAATACTGTCCAAACTTCTGAAGGTTATTTAAATCAGTGTCAACTGTACTGCCACAAAAACAGGTCAGTAGCAAATCTTATATCGTTTATCATTAGACCTATGACATAAACATTATAATCCTTGACCAAATCATTAAAGGATGTTTCGAACAATTTGATAATTATACCATGGTTAAATTCTTCATGTTTCAAATTTACGAATTCAGCAATTTGTGGAATTACCGTCGAAGAGTTAACATATCTGGAAATATAATCTGAATCGTCTGAATTATTTTCAGATTTTGACTTACCCCCAGAAGAGCAGACACGGAGCAATAACGATGGCGTTGGCAATGTGCAGATCTTTCCAGTTGGGGAGCCACCAACTAACCAAGGCAAACACACACAGTCCCATAGGCCAGATCGGGATGGTAACTATAATGGCCCGGTACTTGGTAGGAGTGAACTCTATCATATATGTGTAGAAAACAGTGATGTAACACCCGAGTCCAAAACCAATCAAAAAGCGAAAGGCAGCAAACATTTCCCAACTCACTGAGAAGGCACATCCAATATTTGCCAGAAGAAGGATTAACATTGATAGAAAATAGGTAGGTTTGCGACCGAAGTAGTCAGCAAATTGTCCAGCAATCAGCCCGCTGACCAGTATTCCAGACATCTGTATGGTGGTAATGGTAGAAGGAATTCCATCCCGATCACATATCAGGTGCCACTGAAAATACATGTAAAACATTTACTAGAAATATGATATAAGGAAATATCTACTTCATACCTTAGTTTGCTGACGCAGAAAGTTTAAACAAAACAAAGGAAATGTTTTTACTGGACGTTATGACTATATCGTCCAATTTTGACTCATAAGGTGTACTATCTGTCGCAGCAATGAATCTCTGTGTTTAAAATATATGTAAATGCACAAAAGCGGGAAAAGTGCATATAAAAACCCTTTGTGTAACGTTGAAAATTTACAACATTAAGCGATAACGGGTATTTTAATATTAAAATATTTTTCGTGTAAAATTAAGCAAGGTGATTGAACTAGACTCAATGTGTATTTTCTTGAATATAGAAAAAATACGAGAATTTGGAAAAACGAGGGACTATTTAAAAACATCTTTGTCATCATGGCGAATTTGTTACATTGAAGCTAATTGTTTCAGCTCGTGGAAACAACTCATTTATCAAAATGAATTGAACCAATTACTTTCACTTCCTTTTTTACTCTTAATATCCCACTGGTTGATCTAGGACAGAAGAATTCCATCCGAGGGGTTTTCAACTTAAGTAAAACCCGAGGCTTGCTTAGGTTTGTGACCCGATTTAGAAGTCCAGAACAAGGGATTTCCCTATTTTCTACCATTGGGCATGTAAGAGTATTTCTCCCATTTCAAACGCAAGAATTACCCGTTGAAGCCAAAAAGGACATTTTGACAAGCTATCAAATTGAAAATGTCATCTCTGCACCCGAAGTCTTTTGGACGACGAACAAAATAAGGTATCAGAACTTTCCAGAATTCGCGACGTCATTGATTTCCCTGTGTGACATCACACATGAAAATGGAGTCTCATATCTTGCACTCTTTCCACACCATTTATACACACACATGTGTAAGAAATTTTTTATTACCTCGTTAACAATGGTATAGAGGCTATCATCAAGTTGGTAAGCCTGGCACACTTCAGTCGTATTCCCGGATCCTTGAGATGTGCATTTATGTAAATTACTGTCATTTCGGTATCTGTCTATTGGCGACACTGTACTGTTTCCGGGCCCCGTCGACTCCTCATCCATACACCACCACTGAGGTACGGCCCCTGCTATGGACATCATCAACATGCTCCACGCCATACCTAATTTGGATGGCATGGCAACTGAGAAGAGGAGAAACTGAAATCTCCCAAACCCGCCACTTTCTTTGAGGACGTTCTCCATGTATAAACTTAATGATGACATGTTACCAGCGGTGCTTGTTGTCCATGTAATTATACCATTTTCCTCGTTGGTCTCTGTTCTTAAATATATAAATTTACCTAAATTTTTTTTTAAGTTGGTGATATTTTATCGGCATGTTCAAAAATAACATTATAGAATGATGATGAATTAATCACAAAGTGAAAATCTATATACTGTAGAATCATTTATTTTCGTGGGGTTAAATTTCGTGGTTTTCATATACTATCCTGTTTCAAGGACATTCTATTTCTTTGATTTTTGTTTTCCCCTATTTATTTCATACCAAAGTTATGTTTTCGTGGGGATTTAATTTCGTGGATTTTTGTTATCCACGAAATAAACGAAATTTAATGTCCCACGAAAATTTATGATTTTACAGTAGATATACAAACCCCAAAAGCTATCTCACTGTCACTGGGTTTAGTGATATCTCTTACACTTATGTATCAAATGTACTGTTAACATACGTATATGTTCTTCCGCATACCTTACCTATCGATTGGTGTTGTTCCCACCCGAATTTTAATTTTCCAGACTAGAAATACGGAGTAAAATAAACCTACTCAAACATTCAGGAAGTAAAAAGAATGATTTTTTTATCATATCTTTGATTCGGTGAAACTCTGTAGGAAGATAATATACCTACATGCAATCAAAGTGTATAAAGATATATAAGCATCAAAGCTGTTTCAATGTTATTGGATTGAGTCATATACCTTATTATCTAAACAGTTAGTAGACTATGTATTCTTCCGCATACCATACTTATTAATAATAACTTTAACCTACTCATAACTGTTGTATTGGGTACTGGTCAAAGATCATTATACACTCACGATAATATAAATATAAATTTATCGAAATGGCGACAACTACATTTATATTTATACAAATGAAAGTGAGCTTGTATGTTTGTAATTTGCATTTTGTGCAGATAACCAATGATTTTTTTATCCATGACGTGTGGATTCATTGTATTCGTGAAACTAACGATAATATATATTTATATTTCTAGATATTGCGACAACTACATGCATATTAATACAAATGATAGTGAACATATATGTATATATTTTGTATTTTGTGTAAATTGCCAATACATTCATATCCACGATGAGTTGATTCATTGGAGTAGTGTATGAAATATAATATTATCCTATCCATCACGATTTTATCTCGTGACCATTAGCATAATTCATACATGTTATTTTATGGAGTTTTCCGTATATTTTAAATACAAATACGAATACATTCATAAAAGTAATACTCTTAAAGCAGAAACGGTCAACTTACGTAACTTCCAATATATCCTGGATCGCAATGTGTAGGGTTTGTTAAATAATACCACCTGTATTATTGTCGATATCAAAACATGCCTTGATATTTGATCACATGTACTTCCCATACCCTATAATGATAAACCTTTTATCGACTCTTTGTATAAAGACTTGTCAGCTTCCTTTTGTTGTTGTAGTTCAATGTTTACATGAAGATGCGGTATAAAATATAGTTATTTACAATAAAACTTTCCTTAAAATAGGTAATTATTAAAGGTAAGTTTAGTTGATATAAATGCTTTGTGTATCTGAGTTATTGCAAAAGTCATTTTCAAGACGTTTTATTAAATTGATCAACGTTTCATATTAATATTATGACATAGTGAACGATGTATTTAATACCTTAACTTTGAATAGGTGTTTCCTCGGCTCCTGTCCTGTCGTGTCAATAAGTAGTTCTTATTTTGTGTTTGTATGTTGGCGCTTTCTTAATTTTTTTTTCTCTCAATTCTAATTATAAAACAGTTTATCCTGTAAGCTTCCCATGCGCCACGTGACTGCATGTGATCTCTGTTGTGGTTGGACACACAATCAAACCAGATAACAGACGTTGTCACCATGCATTGAGGAGAGCGAAGTTCATTTATGTATAATACACAGTACTTGTGGTTACTCCATCACTGAACAGTACAACTAACATTCAAATCACATACCATATAGTGACTATCTAACTAAAAAGCAACGTATCTGTAATTGCCTTTGATAGCCCATCTAACTGGTCATTGGTTAAATCACAACAAATTCAACGGAACAAACAGAGAGACACTAGTTTCTTAGAGCACGTATAGACGGGATTGTTTTGGTCCTTAATTCTATGCAAATTTAAAACCTTAAGTTAAATTTTCAGGTTTCATTTTATTTATTTTTTGAATGCTTCCCCAAAACTACAATCAAAAATATTTATTTGAGTTTTCAATTGTAATTGTCATTGTAACCAGTAAAAATTGGCTTAAATAAATGAAATGTGAACAATCAGTTATTTTGTTTTAATTTCTTTTTCGTCTAGTTTTTCTCTTATCATACTCTTAAGTGCCATATATAAAAAAAAATCAAGTATGTGCTGTATATAGGTTTTGAGCAAAATAATACACCAAAGTTTTACAACATTGACTGAATACTTCAATGTACTGATTGTTGGCACATTTATAACCGTAACCATGGCAGCAGTGATTAAAAATACAAATTTATCCCCATATGATAGTTTTAGGGGAATATTAAAAATAGAAAATAAATGTTTCAAAGTTCAGTTAAAGGTTTCGAAGTTTGTTTGATTTGGGGGCCAAAAGGACAAAATCATACGGAGAACATGCATGTAAATTGTGCTGGTAAAAAATCCAGAAACACATGTTTTGGTGATAAATATGGTAAGAAGTCATCCTTATTAACCGGCAACTTAGAGAACCGATTTTACATCCGGATATTTCCAAAAAATGACCAAGCGTGAAAAGGTTTGTATTCAGGAATTAAGGACAAAAACTGTCACTGGTTTGATGTATTCTAAATTTCACAAAAACGTATCAACAACATGAAAAACAAAATAATGCTTGCCCGATTCAATAGGAATAGAATGGCATTTACCTTAATTTTATTCTTAACATAACTTTCTTAATATGGAAATCAGAATGTAAGCTTTGGAAGCCTTGTGAAACGGGAGCCTTGACAAATATTATCCGATATACAAATGTAATGAACCAATTACAATGTAGAAGGTAAAATACAGAATATATAGAACGTAATAGAGGATTCCTAACGAGTCATAACTGACTCCGATTTATGTAAAACAAATGAGTTTTATTTTCACATATAATCTACAAGCCTCAGTGAAATATATTCGCAATCAAAATATGAAGCAAACCATCATGTTTCTTTACTACGAAAAATGAGTCAATACGTATTTGTTTTTCGTAAAATGTGTGCCCGGGCCAGCTTCTATGTTTACCGCATTTTGTAACACAATATTTTACATATACAATGTAGTTACTGTATACTGTATTAAAAAACATCTTATGTTTTACGATATATTACATGTCCATACACATTGACTACAATATCACAATATACAACATATAGTTAAATGTTTTACAATGTATATTACATACATTACCAGATATATCACTATATAGTACATACGGAAACTACAATATTGCTCACAATAACCTCATGAATTGATTGTCATATTATATATTACAATTTATCGCATACAGACACATACACTATATTACCAAGTTGATACTTTAATGTTGTATCATGGCTATATATTTCATAGATGTATGACGTATTACAATAAATTACATGCAATAACCAGAAGCATATCACAATATATTATAAGCTATGATATATAATAATATAGTCATGGTATACATTACAAAATATAACACATATATAAACCTAAAATATATCACAAATTATTTCATACTGTTACTTTAACAAGTAATATATAGTAACATTATGTATAACAAAGTGTGCACAATCAAAAAATTACATATGCGTGACGAAAATAATGTTGCCTTTTTCTTTTTTGGTCGTTGTAGTCATATCAAAGAGTTTATATGGATGATATTTTTTTGGTTTTAACTTATTGGAACCAAATTCGTGTAGTGTATCAGGTAGCATCCTATTATTTGTCTCTGGCATAAAACAAATGCAAATGAAGGCTAATATAAGTCCACCACTGCATATAAAATACAGGATACCAGGAATGTCGTCATTCTGGAAAGAAAGCGTGAAAAACATTTCTATATTTTTATTTTTATTTTTTATTTTTTATTCAATTTTCATAAACAACACAATTGACAAAACATAAAATACATTACTTTGACAAGACAAAATGCTATTATATTCATAACCTGTTAATTGTAGTAGATTATTTACACATCGGATGATAGTCATTAAGAACATGAACATCAGTTTTATTTTAATACAAGCGATCATAAGAGGAACATCCGTGAGTTAAACTATCGAGCAGCTAAAATTTGAAATCATTGAAATTTAAAATTTATGTTTATTAAGTCCTTGAGATGACCAAATCTATGTCCCTTCTGTCACAGTGATTTAATTTCAGAATATTTTGTATATCTTTTACAGGTATTACATACAAAAGGAATTGGGCAACAGAAAAAGTCTTTAAAAGCCCTCTTCTTACTGTTATAATGATTTAGGTGATACGATCATTATTTTAAAGCGGTGTTGTGGTTTTGACAGCAAATGAGAACAAATGTCAACTTACCAGGTACACCATTTGTGGAGCAATTAGAGAGCCCACCCTCGCCATGCTGTTAAACAAACCACTGCTAACCGATCTGGTAAAAGTAACACAAAAAATGTTGACGTCACAAAATTCGTTCAGCACTAGAATGATGCGCATTAATAAATAATCACATGGAATAGAAAATTGTGTAGTTGCGCAGGAGGATTTTATTTGGTAGTATCAAGCTACCTTAAAACCTTAAAAGCAGCTTACTACCCACTTGTCCAGATCCGAAAGAAGTTGGAAATTCTATAATTCTACTATTTATTTTGTTATTTAAAATTATTTGCTGAATACTGGATATTTACCCTGTACTAAAGCAGAACGAACTTGCCCTTTTATTGCTATTTTCCATTGATATATTATAAAGTGTTGATATATGAACGAAAAGAAATCAAAATATTCGCAATTCTCCGGAGTACTTGTAATCAGGTCTCATACAAAAAATACAGTAACTGTAGTTTTGAGATTTTTGTACACCTTGTTAACAGTCTGTCGTAACATGATATGATTTTTTTTTTGAATAGCACATAGTCATACCTGATGACGGTTGGAAACAGCTCTGTAGCTAATAACTTGATGCCGAGCCATGCCAGAGATACTCCGATTTTCGAAATAAGCACAAAAACAGTACGGTACACTTTGTTTTGTAAATCTGAAAAGCAATTATCATTATTATATATAATAATCCGTTTTTAAAACAAACAATCACGACACAATTGTCTAACCTATATCTGCCACTCTTGTTGGCCCGGATGGAAGCGTCAAGGTTGTTTTAATACGGGAGGACACCGGGGTACCCGGGGAAAACCCACGTGGTCTGTCCGGCAGGTGAACCGATCGGTGAATGAAACCTCGACAGTCTCGGTTATCCGCTGAGTCACTCAATCACCAACTGAGTTATCAATTATAACTAACCCAAATGCCCTGAAATGTTGCTACATTGTATACTGTCACAATTTGTCGAGCATAAAGTAATATCATAATTGGAATTTTGGTAATATATCGAAAAAAGAAAGAAGAATGGGACATTAAAAAACATTGGCAAAAAACAAGACGGAAAATTTAACCGAGGACATTATGTCTAGCGGCAGTACAGTTAATTTATTTTCTCTCTGCGCAATGTCATTGGTAAAGGAGCTGGCTTTTTATTACAAGAACACAGACACGAGGTATTTTAGCGAGACAATTATATATAAAAGTGTATCACGTTACGCAAAAAGATTATTTAGACGGGGCTACTAAATAAAGGTTGCTCACATTTGGGTCCAACATTTTGAGTTGGTTATTCGTGAATAATTGCTCTCATCAATATCATGACATTTCATTTTGTGAATAAGAACATATCTTTCCTTAATAGCCGTCATATACATTTGCTTTACGCATTTCGTATCTTTGATCTACATGTGTAGGCTATGATCACCTAAATATAGTCATCTACACATTGTACAGAGTGGGTGATGCAAATATTGTTCAAGTTTCATCAAAATATTTGTCAATGGTTTAAAACATACATCCCATAAAAGCCGCACTTATTTGACCATTTACCAAAATATGAAAGTAATCGACGCCAAAATGTACTATTATGCACGGTTGCTTTAGCTGATGAAGGTATACAAATCAGGTGTCATACATGTGGTACGGACAAGATTCCGATAGAACTTGTTATTCATCTTTGACCATGAGGTTAATAACAAAGTGAACTTATTAAAGTGCATTGCACACATCTCCTGAAGGTGATTCAAGGACACTTAAGATAAAGATAAATCATGATATATTCAACGGTTTAAAAGTTACGGCTCGGAAAAATATGTATGAGAAGATGAGGAATGAAAAGAACAAGGAAAACAGAGCTAGTACTAAGTAATTCGAAGGCCTAGGGAAACATAATTAATGAGGATAAATCTGAAATGGTTAGCAGGAACCCTGGTGACGATAGAATGAGTTTCCTGCACCACGTTTGAGCTTCGTCATGACGTCATGTCTTCTTCCTGAACATACCTGTCGCTTCTATGAAGGCCACGGTGACTGCGGCAAATATCCCTATACCACAAAATAACAACGAGGTCCACTTTCTCCCAAGTCTACAGGAAATTATGAAACACAAAAATCTTTTATTAGTACATGATTGAGCGACACAATTCATAAGTGTTTAGGACCTTTCACCAAGAAGCGACAATTATGTTTCCCTCTTATCATACTAATTACAAGTTTTTCGAAACATAATATATAAAATATTTTCCTTTTCTGAAAACAAGAAACAAAAGGAACGACAACAGTGATAGGTGGGGCTAGACACGAGTGTATGTTCTGGTAGCATGATTGTGCTTGTTTCTTTCTGCCAAGTAAGCAAATACGATTGTATCGTTATATAGTTGAATTCTCCACTGTTTGAATTGTATAACACTGGACTAGAGTCAGGGAATGAACTCCGAGACAAATGTGATAGCATGGTATATACTTAACTTCATGCCAAGGTATTGTATTGTAAAAAGGTTTGGATATCTCTACTGTTTCCATGTGATGACCAAGGTATCTAATCACAGGCGGTCAGCAGGACAACAGGCAATCATACTTGCATGTGGTATTTGTCAGTACATACCCAACAAGCACATATATGGTGATATTGTTGAGATTTTAATTGTGTCCATGCTATGATCCCGAAACCAGAAACTACATTTTGTAAATTCCAACAGGCAGAGCCAGACCCTATAGTCACTCTTGGTATGATTGTGTGATCGTCTTTTCATACTTAACAAACACATGTAAGAATATATGTTAAAGTGTAGATATCTCCACTATTTCAAAACTAGAACTGTATGTAACCGGCATATACAAATCCCTAGCAGGCACTTTGAATTCCGAAATGTAACAGTCTATCCACTATGTACCACTCCCGAAAGGATTAAAAAAATGTCTCCAGAGTATTGAAGTTATAACTGTTATTTTCTAAGTCAGTAAGCCATCGTGAATACATGAATTTAAAAGACAGACTTTATTCACTATTATAAATATTATGTTAATTTATGTAACTGAAAAAAGTTCTTAAAATGTACTTTGTGATAAAATGAAATTTTTCAACAAAAGTAAATATTGAAGCTATTTTTTTGTATATATGATAATAGCTTCAATCGCAAGAGTTATACTATTGTGCTATTGTAGATACGGGCAAATCTATCAAATAAACTGGAAAGTCAAGATGGGACTCAGAAACTGCATTCAGATAGATATTCATATGATATTGTTGATGAAAAAACCCCACTTTTTTATATTGCTTTTCTGTCAAATCTACATAATGATAAAAAGTTATCTTTCTGGGTAAGACCAACCAAAATGGGTTAAACGTCCTTGATCAGCTGAAGTTATATGAAGACGGAACAGAAGACAAAGAAGAAAACCCAAAATTATGTAGGGCAGCCGACATAAGCTGCCTCTTCCAACATGCAGTGGGATACAGCAGGTCTAGGCCATCCCAGAACCTACACAGGTTAGTCTCTATAGCAAAGCTAGGAATGAAGTAAAATAATGACAGCGTAATTCGGCTTACCGGTTTGTAAAGAAATATAAAGTTACAATCGCTGGAATCTCCGCAATACTAAGAAGGGCCATGTTGAGGAAGAGGTTCCCTGTTAAACCCTTGACTCCAAAGGATATCCCATAATAGCCATAACCACAGGCTAACCTGTAACCGAAACACAACATTTATAGTCCTTAGCAAAGAATAACATGAAACTGGGACGCCTAACAGTAAAAGCCTATTTCAATAAAACAAAACCTATCGACCTTCATTATACAGAAAGAAATATATGATGACCATCACACTTTCTATACTGTTCTCTCTATGTCACATTTACAGTACTATTTCCGTGTATATTTCTGTAGCTCATCTGAAGCGCTTTCATCAAATTCACAGTAAAACAGTCACTATAATTCCCTTGTATTTCCTTTATCAACCTGCATTCAAAGCACTAGTAGCAACCTCATGTGGATGGTTGATACTCTCTGTAGAAAACAGACAAATGCGTATAGAGTCACTGTTTGATTTCCCTTTACAAATTGTATATTGCATTATTCTGTTTTTCCTTTTTCGTTTTAACGTTAGAAGTACAATGTAAGGTCAAAATAAGAAGGATGCCTAAGGGGGACATTCCTTACATAGATCAGAAAAGTGGGAAACTGATTCTAGTAATCAAAATTTTGACAATTAAGACATTATTTTTCTTATTAAAGCATTTATATCACATTGTTGATAATTGCTACTTGTTAAAATGCAAAATTACTTGGTCATCTCTGAGTTTGCTTTGATGACGTCACAATGTAAATTGTCATTATCACCGGAAGTGAATTTCATTTTAGGAATTTTGCAATAAATGTAAAGGGATTTCAATGACTTTATGCATGGAAATCATGCAATAAATATTAAGCATAATCCAAATAGCAAATATGTAACAAGTAAATGTATACATACATTGTAAGAATAACTTACCATGAAACTATATGTAAAAAGGTCATTTTGGCTAGCTTAGCTGTTGAAAACATGTCCCGTATGGTGTAAACCTTGTTCGTACTGGGCTCGTCGACGTCTGTATCCATCCTGATTTTGAGTGCTTTGATATCTCGAATTGGGCTGCCATTGAACTTTGCCACTCTCTGTATAACGTCAAATGCTGCCTCCTGTTTGTTGTTAGAAATAAGCCAGCGAAAACTCTCCGGCATTAACCTAATAAAATAATAATGTGAGAAATGTTAACAATTAAGTCTGAATGTAGCAATTTTAATTTCATTTGCAAAAATCAGTTTTTTTGGATTCAGTCTTTATTATTTTTAATAAGAAGATTTTTTTGTCAGTCGTGTTACAGTATAATTGTTACTTATGTGAACTACTTCTCCTCTAAATGTTTTCTTTTCTTTTTAACGATACAATGGGTTTTTTACGACAGGTTATTATGTATGTTTTGAATGTCCAGGTGGTAACGTTGCTAGACTAATGTTTACATAGATGAACAGTATCGCTAAATGAAATTCTAAATTTAATTCTGAAAAACAATGCGCCATCGATTTGACTACGCGATAAGCGTATGTGCACTTAGTTGTTTTACGTATACGAGGTGATGATGGAATCGAGTTTTATTGCTGCTTTGTACATATTTTACAACTGTGTGTTCATACGTTTCACCGGGTCATTTGTTTGATGAAGGTGACAGGAGTATATATCGTACTAGTCATCAAAACACATATACTACTACTAGATGCTTTTTTTAACCCATTCGATTATAATAAACAATCCCTTATTTTGCGATCTTTATCTCAAAATTTCAATAACTGCAAAGTTTTATAATGAAATTCTCCTTGTTATAAAACAGTATATTTACAAAATGCGATGCTTTCACAACTCCCTCAACATCAATGGATTTATTGAGGCATTAAAACAATTTTATGACTTGCAAAACTTTATTGCTAACAGAAATGGGGAAGCTGCCAGGATAGAATTTGAGGGAAAAGATTGGAAAAAATGGGGAAAATTTCCCGAGTTGTAATATTATTGTCTAGCTCTCTTCTCTTCAATGCAGTTACAGTGCTTGCTGATTTCACTCAAAATTAATCAGCAGTTAATATTTACTGCTTCAATCTTGCTTAAAAATTGAATTTTAGATAGAAAATAGTGCCATCTCTCTGAATTCGATGATGATATAGTGTATACAATAGTAAATGAGTAAGCCGTCTGTACTAATGGGTGCACATAAAATAAGTGTATGGTTTAATGATGAATGTCAGTCAGGCAAAGGCTGTGTAACAGGTTTATATGTATGATGTGTAGTGAGTAGAGTAGTATGAAATATGTAAGATGAGTGTTCTATACAATTACCCATCTTTTCCTGCCAAAATTTGCAGACTTGTATCTCATTATTTGTCATGCGTATGAGTTTGAAACATCTGCATAAAATTCTAAGTTACAAATAAAACACACACACATATACACTGGTTGTGCTATAAGACCTTTTATAACATCCGTACATACCTCAAGCACACATACACACAGGCACGGATACATTAAATATACGGAGGCACGTTTTTATATAAGTTTAACTGTCTATACCAATCAAATCCTACTTAAGAAGCGTTAAGAAACGATGATTTACATAATTAAAAGGTCATATTTTAACGGGGTTAATGGTGTCATAATACAAACCTCCAAGTTAACAGCCAGGGTGCTGCACAAGCAGCTGAGACAAAATGGAGATATCTCCAGTCAGGAAGTCCCCAGGCGACGAGTGCGAATAAGGCGGACCATATACCCCACATTGGAAAGGCAGGCAAAACAACACGACGTTCGTTAGGAATGAATTCAAGTACGTAGGGGTAGTAGACTGTTAGAAAGGCGCCAATTCCTAGTCCAATGAAAAGTCGACACGTCGCAAACATTTCCCATGATACTGAAAATCCGCACAACACATTGAACACGAGTAACGTCAGCATAGAAAGAAAGTGGGTCGGTTTACGTCCAATCTTGTCGGCCAAATGCCCAGTAAATAGTCCCCCTAAAAGCACGCCTGACATTTGAATGGTGGTGATGGTAGAAGGTATCCATGCTTCGTCACACACCAAATCCCACTGTTAAATACCGTTAAGAAGTTAGAGTAAACAAATATTTAATTTTCATTATAAGGTGTCAAAAAGCATTTCGGACATTTTACGCTCTGATTCTGATAATGGCTGATTGATTAATATCTTGAAATACTGTTTGTTGTCCTCCATTTGCAATAAAATTACCAACTGGATGAAATAATTGCCCATCAAACATTTTTATGCTTATATTTACCATTTTTGGAATCTGTTTATGTCAAGGATTTTTCAATTGACTTTTCAATATTGAATATTTAGTTTAAAAAAATGTATTTATTGCATTTGTTTGCTTATGAATAGAACATCCAACTGCCTAAAAACGGAGAATTAATGTTAAGCTAATATTAATGCCAATAGAATGTTGAAGAGGTATATGGTGCATGCAGTGAGAGGGACGGGTAATATGTTTACCAATTCGCCCCGTAGTTGATGTTATCTGTATTTGCGAGCTGTTTGGACGAACTGGCTAGATGTATCGATATTATTCTGACTATAAGTCTTACTTACTCGGCACACTGTGGCTAAGTGAGATGTTTTCAGCAAGTTAGTGTCGCGACACTTGTACTCTTTGCTTGACAAAGGAAAGAGACGTTTGCACATTACGTTTTCAATAACTGTTTGAGTACATGCATTTTTAAAATTTACTTTGTATGAATGAAGAACCCTTGTTTATATATTGAGAAATTTAAGTAGCTATCTAGCGCGATATATAAACTGTTGTATACGTTTTCAGTGTTATATAAACTGTTGTGCACGGTTTCTTTCGAGACTATATTTTTATGTATATTTGTTTACATTTTTTTGGGAGGAACATTATTAAACCGTAAGTTATTGTATCTATTCCAGGTTCAACATGTTTTAAACAACTTGTAAAACAAAGCAAAACATTTTACACAAAAAGATAAATTAATCCTGTATTTTACGGAATGTTACATTGAAGATATACTTTTGATTTAAAATGACTTCAAATGTGGCACCTTTGTTTCATTTTAAGTTACTACGAAACATTAAGAGGTTCTAAGTTATACTGATATACTTACCTGATTGACTACCGTGTTCATGCTGGTGTTAAACGTGAACGCTTCACATGCTGTAGTTGTTTCATTATCCCAGGCAGGAAAACACTGCTTTACCATGCTCGTACCATTAACATGTAAGCTTTCGTTACTAACAGTTGTTGCTGGAGTTATATCATGCCGCACAAAACTGTCGTCTCTAACACAATTCCAATCTGGAGTGGCCCCGGCAAAAGTCATCATCATCATACTGAAGGTCACCGACGACATGCCTCCTAGAACTACGAACATAATAAAAAACTGAAAACGCCCGAAACCCCCACATGTATCTAGTAACTCATCCAAAAATTCACTTATGGGTGTCATTTTCTTCTTCTCCATGTTCCTGTGTTACAACATATAATCTATCATGACTAAAAACATGTGTTTTGTTATCCTCGTATCTGCCAGGACACAGTGCACTGTATGTTTGTTCAGCTCATCTCCAGCTTCACCCTATTTGAGGACAAGTGGCCGTATGATAACTAGTATCAGCGTCATAGAAGACACTCCCGGCTATCTATGTACAAACAGTATCTGTAAATATTAGAGTTGCCATCTGTAAGTCAGAGGCGTGTTAGTACAGGTAGCATTCTTATGTGTGGCTTGGCAGTATAACAGCCACAGGAAACAATGAAATCAGTATCGATAAGATAGTATAAATCGATTTTGAATATTCCTCCAAAATAATAGTCTTTGTATTTAGTCCGTTTAAAGTTTTCATAGATTATAGTTCTGTTCAGGTTTTAGAAAAACCTACCTCACAATAGTGTTGCTTAAAAACATGACAGCAAAAACTTTAACACGTGAATGTTTTCCTATCGGAAACTGATCAGATCTTTCCGTCATCTTCTTAGAGTTATCGCAGACCAACCAAGGCGTAATTAATTATGACAGAAATTTCCGAATGGTTCCAATTGACAATTATCATCGATGAAACCAGTACAAACACAAATAACACGAAAAGTTCTCGAACAAATATGGCTCCATAATTTCGAAAAACTGTTTGTTAAACATTATATCAAGAACTGAAAGAAAGAAACCACGAAGACATATGAGATGCAATATTCGTTGTTGTTTGGAACGTGGAAAAAAATCATATAAATACTATGGCAATAAACATTTATTAAATATTATTATGGCAATTAATATTCATCAAATATTATTATCTATCTATATATAATCATGATTGAAATTGTTATAGTGTTTATCTTATTCTTAATATACAAGTATTTATAAAATACTGCCATAAATGATGATATGTTAGTGCATTATATTAAAGTTACACGTGCTTTTTTCATTACAGGTTTGACCATATCCCGTATCTGCTATATCGTTACCTGTGTGCTTAATGTAGGAGCGATAACTCTCACCAGGGTAACTCAAATAGTTATCAACCCTTGTACGTAGCATTATATTTGTTTGGGTTCGTGTTGTTTTCCTTTTAATTTTGGTGTGTTTTTGGCATCTGTTCTTATCTCCTACCCAAGGCAACTTATGTTTTTATCCCAAGTTGATGCTACTTTATATAAAGTGAATGGATTGGCCAATTTTAAATACAATTAACTTGCATTTTGTCAATTTTCACATTTACATAATAAAGTTGCTCACTTATTTCGTTACAGATATAGAGGTTACACAACGAGTGGTTGTTGAATATGGTATTGAGTTCACTCGAGTAAGTTAAATTTTCAAAAGTTACAAAAGACACGAGCTTTAGCGAGTGTCTTTCTGTAACTTTTGAAAATTAACTAACGAGAGGGAAATAAATACAATACTCAACAACCACGAGTCGTGTGATCTGTTTCTACCACAATCTCAGTAGAAACAGCTGGAGTGTGACCTGATTTGAATAACATACAAACATGTGTGATATGACCAATATGTAAAAAGTCACTCATTAATGAATACTCAAAAGTATTTTATTTTTTTACAAATTTAATAATTTTTTGGCAACAACGTCATGAAAAAATATATAGAAGATGAATGTCTTTAAGTATGGAGAATATGCAGTAATGCATTAATATATATAAATTGACCACAGACTATATGCGCGTACGCATATCGTACGAAGTCTGCCTTCCGCCAACTGATAAAGACGAACCTGGACACGCGACGGTGTGACCTCGAAACGATATCGAGCGTTTGTAGCAATTTTGCCCGAAACTAGCGATCGAATCTTAAAATATCACCTTCTTTTAATAACCCCATTTTCCCCATCGCATAACCTCACAAAGTCACCAACATTTAACAAACAACTGTGACTTTGTTTAAAATAATATACATAGTTCAAATATTTTAGAGTCAATTGGGATTCTGATTAAATTTCCTCTCCAAATTAGCCTTAGTTTTGATAAAATAGACTTTTGAAATTGATATCTAAATAAATAGCGTCGCACGGCACTTAAATCATGAAAGTTTTGTTTTTGGTTATTAATGTTACATTTAAATTGTCCATGCAACGATAATTACCAGCCAATGGAGCTTGTATTCAGTTCAATTGTCATAAAAGTCTCACCAAGTGAAAATTGCATACATAAAAATTCTTCTTGTATTGCATGACTGTGCTTTTTGTCGTTTTCCCACATGTGTCCTTTTTGGGTACAGTGCAATCAACACTGTGTAGACGATGTCATCATTTTCTTTTTGTCGTTAAATATTTCATTTGATGCATTTGGATTTACATTTAGTTAGTATGATGGTTAGATCTACCCTGATTTTTATCATTATTTTTATTAAGTGTAATTTTTGCGGTTTATGCCTTTCTCGATTTCACTCATTCAAATGAATTAACGTTACATTTTTCGATTTCACTCATTCAAATGAATTAACGTTACATTTCTCGATTTCACTTTGCGATTAACAATCTACTCAAGTAGCAACACAAACATAATATTATTTGAATATAAAATGCAGCTATTCATCAATGCAACTTACGAATGTGCAAATAACCAACATTAATATCGCTTAATGTTGATGAGCATGTTTTGTGAATACTAAAGCTCCACATGAAAGGTTCTGTGCACACCACGATAATGGCGTTGTTATGTCAGCTGAATTACAGGTTTATAGAAAAAGATCTGTGTCAGCTTACAACTAAAAACTGCTTAATTTTGCCAAACCGTCATATTTTATGGTGGCTTTTATAAGTTGATGACATAAGTTTAATGAATAAATGACATCGGGTATTTGTACATTTTACAGCCTCCATAAAAATATCATTCCAAAATTCAAACGAATATAACTTCACTTATAAACTTTAAAACTAAAACATGTCGGCTACAAGTGCATATTTGGAAAGTATGATTGAGGAATATGGCGAATTTTCAAGATTTCAACGGATTATGTTTTCCATTATGATGTACAGTAAAGTTGCTTCAACATGGACTATGATGATGATGACATTTGCTGGAGCAATTCCTGATTGCCAGTGTCAACATAATAATAATAATAACAACATATAATAATTATTATATACAGCATTTGATATAGCGCCCTATCTAGCTAACCTAAGCCAATCTAAAGCTCTTTACAGTACATGGATTTACAATTAATACAATCAAAATACGATTAGCAAATACATTAATCAATACAATGTTTGAGGAATTCGCAAGAGCTGCCTTAGCAAGCGCTAACTACTAGTCCTATGCCATCTGGCTAATATCTCCCTATGTGTGTATGCCTGCGTGTGTGCTGGAGATGTATTGTGTTCTGTTTATAGTGGTACCGTGCTTCCAACGGTATCATTTATAGTGCCTCCTCACTTGAATGCTACAGCACAGTTACCGCAATATCAACCCCAGATCATTTGATACTCCACCTGGGTTGTTGGAGTTGATATACAAACTATTCAAACCCAATCAATAGATATGTACGATTTATTATATAGATGGACAGTGTTATCCTCTAGAAAATTTTACCGTTCGGAATTACCAAAAGTGTAAGTTTTCCGAAAATAGGAATACTGTTGTGATGTAGGTAGGTTTCATTTTCAGAAGTTTAACTTTAATTATTAGAGAATAGTGGCTCATTCTTTAAAGCAGGAACATTTAGGTTTCCGCTTTAATGTCGTATTAAGTATTTTGGTACATGTACACGCTTCAGCATGCATCCTTGTTTCTTTTGAAGTAATGAAACTTGTTTGGTTTAGGAGTAACCAGATGTTACGCCTATTTTCTGTGTGTGCGTCGTCATCAGTATTAAAGCGAAGTGAATGAGAGAGCCGTCATGGGTAGTATATCCCTCGTGCGGGATTTGCCATTGACCCATCATGGATGTTTGTTCGGAAAGGACGTGAGACTTGTGCACAAAATCTGTACATAAATATGGTAAGAAGACATCCATATAAACCGGCAACTTAAAGAACCGATTTTGCATCCGGATATTTCCAAAAAAGGATCAAGCGTGAAAAGGTTTGTATTCAGGAATTAAGGACAAAAACTGTTATTGGTTTAATGTAGTTTATATTTCGTATCAACAAAATAGGAATAGAATAGCAAAACTATGAAATAAATAAAACATTTATCTTAATTTTGTTTCTTAACATAAATTTCTTTAATAGGGAAATCCGAATGGAAACTTTGGAAGCCTTGTGAAACGGGAGCCTTGACAAAAAAACTTTGAGATTTTGGAACAAATATAATTTAATCGTGCCTGTAACAAGCATTTTGATTGGCTTAAAAAATTATGTTATCAGCCCATAACGTAAAAAATGACGTCGCCGTTTGTAACGTCGCTTTTGATTGGCTGATACAGCGGCGTAACAATTTCTAAGAGAAAAGAGTCCATCAATAAAAGTGGATTTCCACAGAGATTGTGTAAAGTAGATTAAATTATAAGGATTAACTTGAATATATTTTTTTATGTTATGGAGCTATAACTCGAAAAACCGGAGTGTACTCTCATCATAAACCGCTTCGCGGTTTATTTAAATACACTCTGTTTTTGTGTGTTATATCTCCATAACATAAAAGATACATTCAAGTTAATCCTTAATTAATGAACCAATTACAATGTAGAAATTGTAACATACAGAATATATATAATGTAATAGAGGATTCCTAACGAGTCATAACTGACTCCCATTTATATAAAATAAATGAGTTTTATATTTACATATAATCTACAAGCCTCAGTGAATTATATTCGCAATCAAAAAATGAAGCAAATCATTCTGTTTCTTTACTACGAAAAATTAGTCAATACGGATTTGTTTTTCGTAAAATGTGTGTCCGGGCCAGCTACTATGTTTACCGCATTTTGTAACATACTATCTTACATACAGTTACTGTATACTGTATTAAAAAAACCATATGATGTTTTACGATATATTACATACACATTGATAACAATATCAAAATATACAACATATAGTAAAGAAAGTATTACAATATATTACATACATTACCAGATATCACTATATATTACATACAGAAACTACTATATTACTTACAATAACTACATGCATTGATTGGCATATTATTTATTACAATTTATCGCATACAGACACATACACTATATTGCCAAGTTTATACTATAATGTTATATCATGGCTATACATTTCATAGCTATACGACGTATTACAATAAATTACATGAAATAACGAAAAGCATATCACAACATATGATATGCAATTATATATAATAATATAGTCATGGTATGCATTACAAAATATAACATATATATAAACCTAAAATATATCACAAATGATTTTATACTATTACTTTATCAAGTAATATATAGTAACATTAAGTATAACAAAATGTGCACTATCAAAAATTACATATGCGTGACGTAGATAATGTTGCCTTTTTCTTTTTTGGTCGTTGTAGTCGTCATATCACAGAGTTTATATGGACGAGATGTTTTTGGTTTTAACTTATTGGAACCAAAGTCGTGTAGTGTATCAGGTAGCATTCTGTTTTTTGTCTCTGGCATAAAGCAAATACAGATGAAGGCCAATAGAAGTCCACCACTGCATATAAAATACAGGATACCAGGAATGTCGTCATTCTGAAACAAAATCACGAACAATGCTATTATATTTTTCATTTTCTTTTTCACTTTTTATTCAATTTTCATAAACAACACAATTGACAAAAAATACAATACATTACTTTGACAAGACAAAATGCTATTATATTCATAACCTTTTACTTGTAGTAGATTAATTTACACATGATGTTTAATATAACTTAGAACATCAACATCAGTTTTATTTTAAAACAAGCGATCATAAGAGGAAAAATTGTGAGTTAAACTATCAAGCAGGTAACATTTGAAATCATTAAAATTAAAAATTTATATTTATTAGTCCTCAAGTTTGACCAATTTCATGACCCTTATTTTACAGTGATATTTAAAAGTGTTTATGTGGCTTTGACATAAATGCGAAAACAACGTCAACTTACCAGGTACACAATTTGGGGAGCAACTAGAGAGCCCACCCTCGCCATGCTGTTGAACAACCCGCTGCTAACCGATCTGGTAAAAGTAACAACACAAAATGATAACGTCACAAAATTCGTTCAGTACCAGAATGATGCGCATTGATAAATACTTACATTGAATAGAAAAAGTAAATTATTATAAAGTTACACAGGAGGATTTCATTTGGTAGTATCAAGCTTAAAAGTGGTTTCAAAATAACTTAATAGCATTTTACTACCCTCATGTCCAGATCTGACAGAAGTGATTTTACTATTGATTTTTTTTTATTTAAAGTTATTTGCTGAATACTTTGAGCAGATATTTACCTTGTACTAAAGCAGAACGTACTTGCCACTTTTATTGGTATTTTCCATTGATACATTATAAAGTGTTGATATATGAACAAAAAGAAATCAAAATATTCGCAAATCTCCGGAGTACTTATAATCAGGTCTCATACAAAAAATACAATCACTGCAGTTTGGAGATTTTTGTAAACAGTGTCTGTCGTAACATGATTTGAAATTTTTATTTTGAATAAGTAGCACAAAGTCATACCTGATGACGGTTGGAAACAGCTCTATAGCTAATAACTTGATGCCGAGCCATGCCAGAGATACTCCGATTTTCGAAATAAGTACAAAAACAGTACGGTACACTTTGTTTTGTAAATCTGAAAAGCAATTATCATTATTATGTATAATAACATATTTAACAACAATCACGAAACAATTATATCAGCCACTCTTTCTGGCAGGGATGGAAGCGTCAAGGGTGTTTTAATATGGGAGGACACCGGAGTACCCGGGGGAAACCCACGTGTTCTGTCTGGCAGGTGACCGGATTGGGGAATCAAACCTCTGCAATTGCGCTATCCGCTGAGCCAAATGAGTTATCATTTATAGCTAACCCAAATGCGCTGAAATGTTGATATATTGTATACTGTCACAATTTTTCGAGGAAAAAGTAATATTATAATTGGAATTTTGGTAATATATCGAAAAAAGAAAGAAGAATGGTACATTAAAAAATAATGGCAATAAACAAGACAGAAAATTTAACCGAGGACATTATGTCTAGCGGCAGTACATTTGATTTTTTTTCTCTGCGTAATGTCATCGAAATAAACGAGTTGGTTCTTTATTACAAGGAAACTCAAACACGAGGTATTTTAGCGAGACAATTATGAATAAAAGTGTATCACGTTACACAAAAAGAGGATTAAGACGGGGCTACCAATTAAAGAGTACTCGCATTTGGGTCCAACATTTTGATTGGTTATTCGTGAATAATTGCTCTGAAGGTAATTTTATTTTTTCCAATTCATCAATATCATGAGATTTCATTTTGCAAATGAAAACCTATCTTACCTTGCATATATGCTTTGATCATATTGTATCTTTGAGCTTCATGTATAGGCAACGATCACCTGTATGCAGGCCACTACACATTACACGGTGTGGGTGATGCAAATATTGTTCAAGTTTCATCAGAATATTTTTCAATGATTTAAAACTTACATCCCCAAACAAGCTGCACTTATTTGACCTTTTACCTAGATATAAAAGTAGTCGACGCCAAAATGCAATATAATGCACGGTTGCTTTAGCTGATGAAGGTACACAAATCAGGTGTCATAAACATCATTTTAAAATGTGGTTCGGACCAGATTTCGATGGAAATTTGTCATTTTTTTTTCTTCATCTTTGACCATGAGGTCAATACCAATGTGAACTTATTACAGTGCATTGCACATACCTCCTGAAGGTGATTCAAGGACACTTCAAGATTAATCAAGATATATTCTACGGTTTAAAAGTTACGGCTCGGAAAAAATATGTATGAGAAGATGAGGAATGAAAAGAACAAGAAAACCAGAGCCAGTACTAAGTAAGTCTAGGGAGACATAATTAATGAGGATAAATCTGAAATGGTTGGCAGGAACCCTGGAAATGGTTAGCAGGAACCCTGGTGACGATAAAATGTTTTTCCTGCACCACGTTTGAGCTTCGTCATGACGTCATGTCGTCTCCCTGATCATACCTGTCGCTTCTATGAAGGCCACGATGACTGCGGCAAATATCCCTATACCACAGAATAGCAGCGATGTCCACTTTCTCCCAAGTCTTCAGGAAATTATGAAACAGAAATCTTTTTTATTAGTACATAATCAAAATGAACGATAACAGTGATAGGTGGGGTTAGTCACAAGTGTATGTTCTGGTAGCATGATTGTGTTTGTTTCTTCCTGCCAAGTAAGCACATACGAATGTCTCGTTATATAGTTGAATTCTCCACTGTTTGATCATGAAGCCAGACCCTATAGTCACTCTTGGTATGATTGTGTGATCGTCTTTTTATACTTAACAAATAAGTATATATGTTATAGTGTGAATATCTCCACTATATCAAAACTAGAACTGTACGCAACCGGCATATACCAATCCCCCTCATCTGCTCGAACATTCATGCTGATGTCTCAGTATATCAGAGGCCATAGCAGGCACTTTGAATTCCGAAATGTAACAGTCTGCCTTTGAATAAAAACATATCCCCTATGTACCTCTCCCACAATGTATTAATGAGATTGGCTCCAGAGCATTGAAGTTATAACTGTTATTTTCTAAGTCAATAAGCCATCGTTAATACATGAATTTGAAAGTCAGACTTTATTCAATATTATAAATATTGTGTTAATTTATGTAACTGAAAAGATTTTAAAATATACTTTGTAATGAAATGATATTTTTCAACAAAAGTAAATATTGAAGCTATTTGTATATACGATAATAGCTTCAATCGCAAGAGTTATACTATTGTTCTATTGTAGATACGAGCAAATCTATCAAATAAGCTGGATAGGTAAGATTGGACTCAGAAACTGTATTCAGTTAATTATTTATATGATATTTAAAAAAAAAAAAACGAAAGTATATTACTTTTTGTCAAATCTACATAATGATGAAACGTTAATATTCTAGAAAAGATCAAACAAAATATCGTGTATCACATAATCAATACACATATTATTTATCAAAAGGAAATTGATATTTGTGTATAGAGTACATGCATGACATCAAATTTTAGACAAAAAATAATATGTGAACACAAAATGACAATAATTACACACATAATATAATATATTCGATACAATTTATAGTCCTCGTGCTGAAGTTATATAAAGACGAACAGAAGACGAAGAAGGAAACCATCCCAGAACCTGCACTAGTTAGTCTCTATAGCAAAGCTAGGAATGAAGTCAAACAATGACAGCGTAATTCGGCTTACCGATTTGAAAAGAAATATAAAGTTACAGTCGGTGGAATCTCCGCAATACTAAGAAGGGCCATGTTGAGGAAGAGGTCCCCTGTTAAACCCTCGACTCCAAAGGATATCCCATAATAGCCATAACCACAGGCTAACCTGTAACCGAAACACAACATGCATAGTCTTTAGCAAAGAATGACATGAAACTGGCACACCCAACAGTAATAGCCTATTTCAATAAAAAAAAGCATCGAGCTTCATTATACAGAAAGAAATATATAATGACCATCACACTTTCTATACTGTTCTCTCTTTGTCACATTTACAGTACTATTTCCGTGTATATTTTTGTGGCTCATCCGAAGCGCTTTCATCAAATTCACAGTAAAACACTATAATTCCCTTGTATTTCCTTTATCAACCTGCATACAAAGCACTAGTAGCAACCTCATATGGATGGTTGATAATCTCTGTAGAAAAATAGACAAATGCGTATAGAGTCACTGTTTGATTTCCCTTTACAAACAGTTTATTGTATTTAAAAACAATTTTCACAGAATGTGTTTTTCTTTTTTCGCTTTAACGTCATAGCTACAATGTAAGGTCAAAAGAAGACGGATGCCTAAGGGGGACATCCCTTAAATAGATCAGAGATGTGAGAAACAAAAATACCAGATGTGGTTTCCAAATTCTGCAGTTCGCGCAGCAGACCGACTTTGGTTTCTTTTATTTCCCTCTAGCAAAAGAAAAACCAGGAAGAAAATCCCCGATTCTGCTGGAATACTAGTCAACTCTTATGATAATATACATAGGGTTACAGCAGGCCTATTGTTTCCTCGGTGAGTATTACAGGAGGTCCCGCATTAGTCGTTTTATACGTAGATGCAATGGAACATATATAGTTTAGTGTTTTTTTTATATAAATATATATTTATTTTATTTATTTAGTGTCTATTTAAAACGAGATATATAGATGTGTCCTCCAAGTTACTCCTCAGCAGTAGCCTACGTAACGTTAAACCCATACATGGCCGGGTCGACGTCATTATCGGGGGTCACATGTAACAGACAGTCCTATATAGTTATTTCATTTTCAACGAACATGCACTCTACATGTTAATATACCATGCTTCCTACGCCTTATGGTACATTAAATTAAAAGTTAAAATAAATAAACAACTAAAGAATTGAAAACAATACATATATTCATTGTGTTTCTAAAACGATTACTGTATCCTTTATGCCGTTAGATGGTCTGTTCAAAAAGAAATGACCAACCTTAACAACTTCTACGTTTAAAGTTGTTGCTTGTCTTTTTCGATTTCCATTTGTTTTATGTGATTTCCTTATACATGTTTAAACTATCTATTTTTGGCTCTGAAGACCTCTGCTGTTATAATAATGGGCCGATAGGAATTCAATTACTAACTAATTATGTCGTTTCTACTGCTTGATTAAATCTAAAATACTTCTAAAATATATTACAAAGAAATGAATCTTAAAGAAGAATATTAATTTATACCGGAAGTATATTTTTTCAATTCTGGTGGTATAAGAAATGAAAGATATATACTATCCTTATACCACTACCAAAAATTGTAAATTAGACTGGCCCCCGTATCCAGAATATTTAATTATCTAGAAAAATGTATACTATAATAAGTTTGACTACTTGGATGTCTGATTCTAGAAGTTATCAAATTAGCTTAGTTGCTCTACAGTTATATAAAAAAATGACAATTATAACATTATTTTCTTTTCAAGGCATTTACATCACATTGTTGGTTATTGCTTCTTGTTAAAATGCAAAATTACTTGGTCATCTCTGAGTTTGCTTTGATTACGTCACAATGTAAATTGTCATTATCACCGGAAGTAAATTTCATTTTAGGAATATTCCTATAAATCTAAAAGAAATTTGATGACTTTATGCATGGAAATCATGCAATAAAAATTAAGCATAATCTACATAGCAAATGTGTAACAAGTAAATGTATACATACATTGTAAGCATAACTTACCATGAAACTATATGTAAAACGGTCATTTTGGCTAGCTTAGCTGTTGTAAACATGTCCCGTATGGTGTAAACCTTGTTCGTACTGGGCTCGTCGACGTCTGTATCCATCCTGATTTTGAGTGCTTTGATATCTCGAATTGGGCTGCCATTGAACTTTGCCACCCTCTGTATAACGTCAAATGCTGCCTCCTTTTTGTTGTTAGAAACAAGCCAGCGAAAACTCTCCGGCATTAACCTAATACATAAATAATGTGAGAAATGTTAACAATTAAGTCTGAATGTAGCAATTTCAATTTTCATTTGGATTCAGTCTTCATTATTTTTAATAAGATTTTTTTGTCAGTCGTGTTACAGTGTAATCGTTACTTATGTGAATTACTTTTCTTTTTAACGATAAAATGTTTTGTTTTTGTTACGACAGGTTAGTATGTATGTTTTGAATATCCAGGTGGTAACGTTGCTAGACTAATGTTAACATAGATGAGCAGTATCGCTAAATAACATCCTTAATTTTGAAAAACAATGCGCCATCGATTTGACTACGCGATAAGCGTATGTGCGCTTAGTTGTTTTACGTGTACGAGATGATGATGGAATCGAGTTTTATTGCAATTTTGTACATATTTTACACCTGTGTGTTCATACGTTTCCCCGGGTCATTTGTTTGATGAAGATGACAGGATTATATATCGTACTAGTCATCAAAACACATATACACTGGTTGTGCTATAAGACCATTTTAAACATCCATACATACCCTGCCTCAAGTACACTTTCACACAGGCACGGATACATTAAATACACGGAGGCACATTTTAGCCTAGCTGTTTATACCAATCAAAACCTACTTTGAGAAAAGCGTTAAGAAACGTTGATTTACATAATTGTTGTGCTATAAGACCCTTTATAACATCCGTACATACCTCAAGCACACATACACACAGGCACGGATACATTTAACACACGGAGGCACGTTTTTATATAAGCTTAACTGTTTATACCAATCAAATCCTACTTAAGAAGCGTTAAGAAACGATGATTTAAATAATTGAAAGGTCATATTTTAACGGGGTTAATGGTGTCATCATACAAACCTCCAAGTTAACAGCCAGGGTGCTGCACAAGCAGCTGAGACAAAATGGAGATATCTCCAGTCAGGAAGTCCCCAGGCGACGAGTGCGAATATGGCGGACCATATACCCCACATTGGAAAGGCAGGCAAAACAACACGACGTTCCATAGGAATGAATTCAAGTACGTAGGGGTAGTAGACTGTTAGATAGGCGCCAATACCTAGTCCAATGAAAAGTCGACACGTCGCAAACATTTCCCATGATACTGAAAATCCGCACAATACGTTGACCACGAGTAGCGTCAGCATGGAAAGAAAGTGGGTCGGTTTACGTCCAATCTTGTCGGCCAAATGCCCAGTAAATAGTCCCCCTAAAAGCACGCCCGACATCTGAATGGTGGTGATGGAAGACGGTATCCATGCTTCGTCACACACCAAATTCCACTGTTAAATAAAGTAAAGATATGATAGCGAATACAATATTTAATTTTCATTATAAGGTGTCGAGAAGCATTTCGGACGTTTTAGTCTCTGATTCTGATAATGGCCGATTGATTAAGATTTTGAAATACTGTTTTTTGTCCTTCATAGGCAACACAATCACCAACTGGATAAAAAGTATTGCCCATAAATGCAAATCGAAAACAGTTTAATACTTAAATATACCATTTTTGGAATCTGTTTCTATTGATTTATCTTTATTCAATATTGAGTTTTAATAAAAAAAAAACAACACCATTTATCGCATTTGTTTGAATAAAACATCCAATTGCTAGATCGGATAATTGATATCTAACGTTAAAATTATGAAATCATAAAAATGATGACGTCAATAAACGGGCGAATGCATTCATAGCTGATATGAATGCCAACATAATATTGTAGAGGTATATGGTGCATGCAGTGAGATGGACGGGTAATATGTTTACCAATTTTGCCCCGTAGTTGATGTCATCAGTATTTGAGAGCTATACTGAACAAAAAAAGAAACGCACAAAGTCCCCCCTCCCCCTGCAGTACACCTTAGCTGTAAGGAAATAATGGAATATTTGGTCAGGTAGTACATCAAGAACGATCTCCCTTCTCAACAATTTACCCTAAAATCAGCCAAGCGTGTCATTGTGTGACTTTGTGAGCTTCTTTAGTCCAAATCACGTGGCGTGATTAAGCCAAACCGGAGCAATTACGATGTTGATGGATGGTCATAGCCAAACTGCTGTCGCACGGCAGTTTGGTGTTGGCCCGTGTACAATTAACCGTCTCTGTACACGTTTCCGTGTTACTGAGTTAGTTTCCGATCGTCCCAGGAGCGGTCGTCCGCGTGTAACGACCGCACGACAAGACAGGGCGATTCGATTGTCGCACTTGCGCAACAGATTCAAGACTGCTGTAGAGACTGCGTCGCATACCTTAGGTACTCATGGCAGATCCATTAGTCCCCAAACTGTCCGCAAGTGCGTTTTAACTGGATGCGCAGACATGACCCGAATAGGTTTGGGATGCGTCGATAGAGGCGTGTGATGTTCACCGACGAGTCTAGATTCTGTCTGTATCGCTCAGACGGAAGAAAAAGGGTATATCGCAGACGCGGTGAGCGTTTCGCCGACGCATGCGTGGTTGAACGCGATAGATTCGGTGGGGCTTCTGTAATGGTTTGGGGAGGCATCTCCCATGGAGTAAAATCCCCCTTAGTGGTCCTGGATCAAAACCTCAATGCCGTTCGATACAGAGACCAGATCCTCCAACCACATGTCCTTCCACTTCTCAGACGTCATAACCTAATTTTCCAGCAAGACAATGCTCGACCGCATGTTGCCAGAGTCTGTCGTGATTTTCTCACGGCAAACAACGTTCAGCCTCTGGAATGGCCCCCATATAGCCCCGACATGTCTCCCATTGAGCATTTGTGGGATGAGCTGGACAGGCGTATTAGGAAACGTCAAAACCCCCCAACTAACCGCGCCCAGTTGATCGCAGCATTTACACATGAATGGAACAACATTCCCTTAAGGTGAATAAATGTTCTTATGAATTCAATGCATAGGAGAATCCGTGCAGGGATTCGTGCAAAAGGTGCCCACACCAGGTACTGAAGTGTCATTTTGTTTTTCGCGGGTATCCCACTTTGAGTAACTACTGATGACACGAGTGAAGTCACACAGACTTTTCTTCTAAAGTATTGTAAAGAGTAGACTTGTCCCTTCATATTGATATAAAATTGTGTACAAATTTCCCAAAATAACATAGGCTATTGATTGCATAATTTAATTGTGCGTTTCTTTTCTTGTTCAGTATATTTGGACTAACTGGCTAGAGGTATCAATATTATTCTGACTGTAAGTCTTACTTACTCGGCACACTGTGGCTAAGTAAGATGTTTTTAGCAAGTTAGTGTCGCGACACTTGTACTCTTTGCTTGACAAAGGAAAGAGACGTTTGCACATTAAGTTGTCAATAACTGTTGGAGTACATGCATTTTTAAAATTTACAATGTATGAACGAAGAACCCTTGTTTATATTTTGAGAAATTGAAGTAGCAATCTAGCTCAATATATAACCTGTTGTATACGTTTTCCGTGTTATATTAACTGTTGTGTATGGTTTCTTTCGAGTATGTATGTTACATGTTTTTGGGAGGAACATTATGAAACCGTAAGTTATTATATCTATTCCAGCTTCAACACGTTTTAAACAACTTGTAAAAACAGTGGAAAAATAAAAAATAAAAATAAATAAAAACAAATTAATCCTGTTGTTTACGGAATGTTATATTGAAGATAAACGTTTGATTTAAAATGACTTCAAATGTGGTAGCTTTGTTTCATTTTAAGTTACTACGAAACATTAAGAGGTTCTACGTTATACTGATATACTTACCTGATTGACTACCGTGTTCATGCTGGTGTTAAACGTGAACGCTTCACATGCTGTAGTTGTTTCATTATCCCAGGCAGGAAAACACTGCTTTACCATGCTCGTACCATTTACATGTAAGCTTTCGTTACTAACAGTTGTTGCTGGAGTTATATCATGCTGCACAAAACTGTCGTCTCTAACACAATTCCAATCTGGAGTGGCCCCGGCAAAAGTCATCATCATCATACTGAAGGTCACCGACGACATGCCTCCTAGAACTACGAACATAATAAAAAACTGAAAACGCCCGAAACCCCCACATGTATCTAGTAACTCATCCAAAAATTCACTTATGGGTGTCATTTTCTTCTTCTCCATGTGTCTGCGTTACAACATATAATCTATCATAAATAAAAACATGTGTTTTGTTATCTTAGTATCTACCAGGACACAGTGCACTGTATGTTGGTCAACTCAACTCCAGCTTCACCCTATTTGAGGACAAGTGGCCGTATGATAACTAATATCAGCGTCATAAGAAGGCACTTCCGACTATCTATGTACAAACAGTATCTGTAAATATTAGAGTTGCCATCTGTAAGTCAGAGGCGTGTTAGTACAGGTAGCATTCTTATGTTTGACTTGGCAGTATAACAGCCACAGGAAACAATGAAATCAGCATTAATATACGATAAGATAGTTCAATCTATTTTTAGTATATTTTGCAAACGTGTTTATTCTCTAAAACGGGTGTAAAAATTAAAGTTATCGATGTTTTTGACGAATCAGGTTTCGCAATAAAAATAGTTGCGGTTTGAAAATCGCGGGCTTCAAAATTTACCACATTCTGATTGGTTGAAAAAGACCGCAACAGAAAACTTCGCCGGGAAGACTGCAATACCGAACGCGAGAGGGTATATCCGATATCAAATATACCAGTTTTGACCTCACCACAGACAAGTTTCATGTTTGACTCAAAGTTTAACCAATTTGAATATGTGTCTGTCACTCTTTCAACAAGAAACCGTCGGCTCCACGAAAGCTTTGCAGGTGCATGTGTATTAACGACAATGCTGATGAGCCGCCTGAGATATATGTATGTATGCGCATGTGTGGGTTCAAAGTAAGTATGCGTAGCCTAGCTACTTTGCCAGTTCGATTTCGTGTCTGTGTCACAACAGAGTCGTATATACTACTGGCTTTATATGTCTCTGGTCACAACATGACTCCCCGTCCCCATCCCCACCCTGGTGCGATGTCTAAAATACAAATATGCTATACTGATATCCATGGGTCACAACACACATTATTAAGTCTTTCTTTACAAATATAATTTCACTACAAAGAGCATGACCGGTAAATATTTAAGGGGCATGTCATATAGAAGATGGAAAAAGTCTTAATTCTGAATGCTGAAATATGTAATTTAAAAGTTCAAATGCTGAACACAGTTTTCTTCACTTTCACAGCTGACTTTTTCTGTCCTCTTGTTAAATGCGTGTTTCAAGATTCTGTTACATTATCAAGAAGTTCAAATTTAAATGAACATAGACAACTTTTATCCTTATTTTTACAAACCTATCCAAATACACAGTTTGAATTGAACATCAGTGGTACTGTGGCTGCTATGAATAGTGGCCTGTCAAACTAAATTTCGAAATTTAAAGTAAAAACTGCTTATTTTGTTTTGTAAACTTTGTGCTATTGAATATATATAATCATATTCAATACATACAAAAAAACTGCCAATGCCAAAACAAAGTTCCTTACTTTAAGATTATGTGCTTTATTTCATTAATTTAGTTGAGTAAGATAGACTTTTTGCCATGAAAAACGCCGCGAATAAAACCTCCCTTATTTTAATCTCAATCCCTTAAAATGATTGTAAAACTTACAGATTGGTCTCCAAGAACTCTTGCATGTATGCACATAAACATACACAGGTGTAACGATCCCCTGTGGTTCAATCGAGATGCGATATCGTAGCTTTCTGACGACGAGATATTTATATTATATATTGCGTCGTCCGGGTATTAATATTAGTACTAGGTTCAATCACACCTTGGTTCGTTACAAATGTCTGAAATACACATATGCTATACTGATATTGGTCACAGCACACATAATGCTGTGACCCATATATCAGCATAGCATATGGTATATTTCAGACATTTGTAACGAATTGATTCCCTGTGGTTCAAGGTGGGAAATCGAGGGGGATTCGTGATTCATTTATAAATGATAAGGCGGCAGGCCAATTGCTGGAAGTGTGTAATGTGTTAAGAAAAATACATTGCTATGCTTTTTAAATGCACAAAATGTATTTAGACGTGTTAAAAAAAAGATTCTTTTAACAAGTCATTTCTTCAGTTTTGTCTTTTCTATTTAATTAAAAACAACGAAACTTACAAATAATGACAACCATCAAGCATTCTGTTAAGTCCCCTTTACATGTGCAATGTCTTTTACCATTAACGTTATTATTACTAATATTTGTTCTACCCTTTAATTGTATCTGTATTTAATGAAGGCGTTAATTGCACTTATTTTTTGTAAACAAATGATACATGGTAATACATGATAAATGCATACTTGCCAACCGTATATTTTTTTGTATGGGGGTGAAGCCGTGTGCTCAAAGTCAAATATTACAAAACATGAATTATTATAAAAGATGTGTATATGCCCCCAAGGAAAAAAACCCACTTTAGAGTGTCAATTGTCTTTTTAGTTTTTCCTACTGATGAAATCATTGGGTATCAGAATAGTTAAGCAAGTTTTCTGGCTGAAAACGGTCAATTCTAGTACGGACTTAGATAGCAATCTAATTCCGTGGTCTGACCTATGAATCGAAAGGTGTTAAGGGGACGTAACTCACGAGATCTGGAAAAATAAGCTACATGTAGATATGATTCGTCATTTCACAAAGAAATAAGACTAGACCTACTGTAGGTCCATGACTTTGACTAATATTTATATGTTTCACTTTTCGAAACGTGTGGATTAATCAGTTTTTAAATATGAAATGAAAAATTGATTAACTGATTACATTTAACGTTTTAGTCAATTTTCAACCATATGTATAATCCATTCAGATATGTGGTCACAAACACTAGCTATAGACCATTGATATACCTGGTCACAAACTCTAATTTTACTATTAACTACTGAGATACCTGGTCACAATCACTAAGTATAGTTCACTGAGTTACATGTACCTAGTCACGAACGTAACAGACGCACTACCTATGGGCAACTGTGATACCTGATCACAAAAAATATAGTTCACTGAGATACCTTGACAAAAACTTACTATAGACCACTGATATACATTGAGCTACCTAGTCACAAACAACTACATTAGACTATTGACGTAACACTTCCTCAGAGATTAAGTCCAGTAAAGATATTTTTTTTTGTTTTAGATATCACGTTTGTGAGGTGTTTACATATTTGAGTTGTTGGTTTGTAAACAACTTCAAGGACCAGTACTGCTTTGATATGTTATTTGCATTCATAGCCACGCCACCGGTCATAAAAATTCAATTCATCATAATTCGGTCAATTTTTCAAATATCTAGCTGAAGTTTGGTACATATAGGTATATCAAAGTAATATGAATAACACACAGGAGCTCTGTTTCGGGATACTTTCGGTTAGTAATAAACCTATACACACCAGTAATTAACAGCAACACTTTTTATCCGGTGTTTATACACATTCTTAAACCTTGTAAATAATGAGGGTACTGAGGGTTTTTTTTATACCCAATTTTTTATAAGGTTTTCGAATGTGTATAAACATCGGATTCGATAAAAAGTGTTGATGTTATTTACTGGTGTGTATAGGTTTTTTTACTAACCGAAGTATCCTGAAACCAAGCCCCTGTAGAAAAATATCTTCTGATGTCGCGTATTTTATAGATTAATTTTAGAGGTAATATCTTAAGACGCTTCAGGATCTCTAGAGCTCTACTCACACACGTGTGTCACGCCGACGATCGTAAAAATTCAATTGATCAGAACTCGGTTATTTTATCAAACATCTAACTGAAATTTGGAATATATACCAATACAAGTCTTATGAATAACATGTCCTCTTTTGTCGCTTACTTAAGTAAGTATTTTTAAAGATATTGTGTAGCGATGCTTTCTTAACTGTACAGGTTAGTATACACACGTGCCACGCCGCCGATCGTAAAATTCAATTCATCATAACTCGGTCAATTTTTCAAATATAAAACTGAAATTTGGTATAGAGGTGTATTATAGTCATATTAACAACATATTTTCTGCTAACTTCCAATGTGATAAGAAAAGCCGAAGGAGAATGTAAATATAAATGCAAAGGTTAAACATTTTAAAAACGGAAATAAATTTGAAAGAAAAGGTCAGTTGTGCTATATATATTTCTATAGTGTAGTGGTCATCACACTCGCCACTCTGTGGTGGGAGACCCAGGTTCAAATCCTGGTGGGAAAATACTGCAAACATATATTGAATGCCTTTTGTTCGTCATAGTAACCTTTAAACCACTTCAGCTTATTTTTTGAAGAAAAGTTCCATGGTCTAATGCAAGCCAAATTTATGAATTACATGTGGTTCTAATCTGCCAGGGGTTTGAGCCCAAATGAGGTCAAATTGACTTAATTTTCAAAAGTCTTCTTATTCAGGCACAGAGATGCTAAAATCAAATACTCTTCATAGATGGAACGGTCCTGTAGGCCTATTTCAAATTTATGAATATTTTGCTACCTCTGGATCATCCTTCCTCCTTGAGAAAGGTTTAATGTTTAGGCTAAAAAAGAAATTCAACAATTCAGAGAAAAATAGGATTGGTCAGTAAGCAGGCAATTTTATTTAATTTTATTATTTTTCGTGGATCAACATATACTTACAGGGTTATTTACAGGGTTATAACAAATGAATGAAAAATGAATTTCTTTGCATTACAATTGTTATTATTCTGTCAAGAATATGGTCAGGATCCCATGACCATAACAGTGAATGCAATCTTTGCCGGACTATTAAAATGATCTTCATGGGTACAAAGTAGGTGGGAAATAACACTTTTGGGTACAAATTCAAAGTTGGTTGGAATGACTATCATGTGACTAAATTTTGATGGTTTGAAAATTAAGAACCTAGCCCTTCCCTATGGCCTGTAGGGAGGGGCCAAAGAGGGCAAATTGGCTGAAATTTCAACAATCTTCTTCTTCAGATCCAGATATGTTAGAATTATTAAACACTCTTCATGGATTGAAAGTTCCTAAGTCGCTATATCTGAAATTGTTATTTCATTACCCCCGTGTCGTTCATTCTTCCACTATATCATTTTTTCTCAAAATTGTCAGCAATGTATACCGTATATCAGACAATTATGTACCCGCTAAAAATGATATATCAATAATATATGTTGGTCACTCCCAACATGAATTTCTCTCCCAACATGAATTTCTCTCAAGTAATTCAAAAAGTCTTTTTTGATTAAATGAACTTTTGTTCTGATTTTGTTTGATTTTTACATCACTACAACAAATAACATAATTGCATTACAACTCAGGTCCATGTATCTCTTGTATAACTTGGTGAGATCACTGTTGTACATTTATCATTATTGTGTTGTCATTGCAATGGTCCTGTTTATATCTATTGCAGCATCTGGCTTCTGAAGATACTGGTACAGTGGTATCATGCTTTAGGTTCAAAATATGTTCACGATATAATGCTTTCTTACATTACAATGCAAATGATTAAATTGTTTTATCATTTGGTTATTCAAAAGGAATGAATATTGCAGCCATTGTTTCTCCAATATTGGAATATTGAGAAATTGAATGCTGGTTTAGAGTTACAAAATGGGAACCATAATTATATATAATTACTTAATATTGATTTGGAATCATCTTTCATAACTACTTAATGCTGATTTAGAATCATCTTTGAGCTAATTTTATTGTGTTTGCATGTCACCTATAGACCAGGTTAAGCTTTTAAATGAGAGATGTTGTAACATCATCAGTTCTTTATTGTTTTTCTGTGTGTACTTATAAATTACCATGCTCTTTGCTGGTTATGAAAAGATTAATACACTCATACTAACTGTGATTGCTCCTAGGGTCCTGTCACTCCAGCATGGTGACCTTATAACATTGAAATGGTTGAAATCAGTGTCATATAATGAAAAACACCTACTGGAAATCCATAGACAACTACCAATTTTTTCTGCAGGTCTGTTACCACCCAGGAATACAATCATGCTAGCCCCTTCAAGGGGTCATACATGGCCGAGATAAACAACATAATAATTAGTGAACTATACAGACCCGTACACGTTCGCTGTTCCACTTTCAGCGTACCGTTTGCGTAGCTTTTCCGTACCGTTTGCGTAGCACTTGCGTATCACTTGCGTAGCATTTCCGTAGTACTTCCGTACCATTACCGTAGCATTTCCATAGCACTTGCGTAGCGTGTCCGTAGCACTTCCGTAGCGTTTCCGTAGCACTTGCGTCTACATATTTCCATTTAAAAAGCGTTTGTGAAACGTTCGGTCGAAAATTTTACGGAATATATATTTGTCGAAACGAATTGTAAAAACCCCCATTATAAACCGCATTACGTGAAAATTACTCCAACCATCATAATATTCTGAAGGAAAACCCCCCACAAAAATGACGGTTTACACATACATGGACGTAACAGCCCTCCTCCCATGGGCCTGCTTGGTGTTCCCCACACCAGCATCTAGGCCTTAGGGGTAATTCAAATAACAGGCATACAACTGGCCATGTGGTAATGACCTGTCCCTTGTTTAAGGTATAAACAATTTTAGTGTCCGTTATAAAGGTTGTTAGGGCAACATGACCACCCGCTGACAGATACATTTCTTTCAATATGATATCTATATACCTGAGAATCTAGGCAGTGATAATGCATTGACCATTCACCTGTGGTCACATTTGATTCT